AAAAAAAATTATAAATGAACATTTTTTTTTTACCTGCAAAAAAATGTGCATTTATTCATTTTTTCTCAAAAGGTGAACTTATCCACTCAATCAGTCTGTGCTGCCTGTTACCTTGATAAAATGGTTAGCTGTGCCCCCAAAACATTGGCTCATTTTGTCCATCTTAGGCATTTTTATATTATCATTGCAAAATGTCCACATTAAAACTTTGAAGTTGACGGATTGAGTACTGGATCTCCATTAGTCATGCACTCCTGACAACAGAAAAGCGGAACAAAAGAGTTTTGCGAGGATGGATAAGTTATAAATAATACAAACTTAACCGATGTTCTAATCCCTCTCCACTCTACCAAAATGGAAAAAAAAAAAAAGTAAGAATTTTGCCTTTACTTATACTTTAATTTTCCCATGATTTATTTATGTTTACGAGATGTTATCCTTCCATTCTTTCACCAGTCTAAAATGTGAATATCCTACAGTGCTGGCCATAAATACAATCTCAGCCTTTGGGTACAATTTACCAACTTGGGAAGTGAAGTCAAGTGATCTATAAAGTAAACTCGATCTACCAAAATTGAGTGAAGTAGAATTTGTCCAGGAAAATTTTGAAAAAAGTAGATGTTTACATGTCTAAAAGTCAGGAGTGAACACAGGTGCACATTGCTTGAACTTGTTTCACACTTTAGGTAAAAGTCCATGCAAAATGTTCTTCATCTGTAGAAACCCTAACCATTTTATTTCATTTCACATTATTGCTCTGAATGCAGCACTGTTGTGTAGAGCTTACCACCAAAGGAGCCGCTGGAATATTGCCCAGGTTCCTTTCCCAGTAATGCAGAGGTAACCAAGCACACAGCAACAGTCAACTCCAATTGGCTCAATGAACAGTCATGGGGTTTCTTTTTGTGGTTTTATTTTAGATAACTTGAATGAAGTATAGGTATACTCTAGAACTATAGCTGAACTTCAGAAACAATCTTATGGCAGATTCAGAACAAAATACACTGACATACTAGTGGCCAGAGGTATGTACCCCTTAAGAGAGGAACTACTGGACTTCCAGGTTAAACAACAGTTCTCCCACAATGACACTGAAAACAGGCAAACTGTATGAATCTCCCAGGGTAGAAGATACTCAGCCCAGGCTTATCAAACAGTCTTTCACAAACTAACGGGACTGGTTGGTATGTACAGTGGATATAAAAAGTCTACACACCCCTGTTAAAATGTCAGGTTTCTGTAATGTAAAAAAATGATTAAGATAAATAGTTTCAGAACTTTTTCCACCTTTAATGTAACCTATAAACTGTACAACTCAATTGAACAAACTGAAATTTTTAGGTGGAGGGAAGTAAAAATAAAAAACTGAATAATATGGTTGCATAAGTGTGCACACCCTCAAACTAATACTTTGTTGAAGTACCTTTTGATTTTATTACAGCAACCAGTCTTTTTGGGTATGAGTCTATCAGCATGGCAGATCTTGACTTGGCAATATTTGCCCACTCTCCCTTGCAAAAACACTTCAAATCTGTCAGATTGCGAGGGCATCTCCTGTGCACAGCCCTGTTCAGATCAGATTCCGGTCTTGGCTCTGGCTGGGCCATTCCAAAAAAACTTTAATCTTCTTCTGATGAAGCCATTCCTTTGTTGATCTGGATGTATGCTTTGGGTCGTTGTCATGCTGAAAAATTAAGTTCCTATTCATGTTCAGCTTTCTAGCAGAAGCCTGAAGATTTTGTGCCAATATTGACTGGTATTTGGAACTGTTCATAATTCCCTCTACCTTGACTAAGGCCCCAGTGCCAGCTGAACAAAAACAGCCCCAAAGCATGATTCTGCCACCACCACGAATCACTGTGGGTATGGTGTTCTTTTGGTGATGTGCAGTGTTTTTACGCCAAACATATCTTTTGGAATTATGGCCAAAAACTTCAACCTTGGTTTCATCAGACCATAACACATTTTCCCACATGCTTTTGGGAGACTTCAGATGTGATTTTGCAAAATGTAACTGGGGTTGGATGTTTTTCTTCGCAAGAAAAGGCTTCCGTCTTGCCACTCTACCCCATAGCCTAGACATATGAAGAATACGGGAGATTGCGGTCACATGTACCACACAGCCAGTACTTGCTAGATATTCCTGCAGCTCCTTTAATGTTGCTGTAGGCCTCTTGGCAGCCTCCCAGACCAGTTTTCTTCTCGTCTTTTCATCAATTTTGGAGGGACATCCAATTCTTGGTAATGTCACTGTTGCACCATATTTTCTCCACTTGATGATGACTGCCTTCACGGTGTAACATAGTATATCTAATTCCTTGGAAATTCTTTTGTACCCTTCTCCTGACTGATACCTTTTAACAATGAGATGCCTTTGATGTTTTGGAAGCTCTCTGCGGACCATGGCTTTTGCTGTAGGATGCGACAGCTGAACTTTATTTGGGGTTAATCAGAGGCACTTTAAATGATGGCAGGTGTGTACTGACTCCTATTTAACATGATTTTGAATGTGCTTGCTTAATTTTTAACACAGCTACATCCCCAGTTATAATAGGGTGAGCACACTTACGCAACCATATTATTTTAGTTTTTTATGTTTATTCCCCCTTCCTAAAAGATTTCAGTTTGTTTTTCAATTGAGTTGTACAGTTTATAAGTCACATTAAAAGGTAGAAAAAGTTCTAAAATGTTTATCTTTGCCTCATTTTTTTTTACATCACAGAAACCTGACATTTTAACAGGGGTGTGTAGACTGTACCTCTCAGGAGAGGAACTATGGATCCCAGCAATCCCAATAGTGCGCAGTCCCAAGAGCTGGAGCCAAAACAGGTAAGTCATGGTGGAGACTTTATGAGAGCAGTCTTAACTTAGAACAATGACTGGCCGCTTTACTAATGAACAATTCTCTGCTAACAGGCACAAAATACCCTTATCAGATCAGTGCTCACTATGTCCTTTAGGTAACTAGATGGATGCCTCCTTCCAGTACAACAAATATATTCCAGTGACGGAAGGTTAACCAGACCTAAAAGACTCCCCAGAACTCCTCTGATGGGACGACTGAGCAGAGATCCAAAGTGACTCCATAAAAAAACTTGAAAGTAGACTCCCCAGCTATTCCTAGCTTGGACATGGAACAGCAGCAACTTGAATCAGCAAAGCAGGTGGAGGTGAGAGGTAGCCAGCCCCCACCTGAGCTTGCGATTACTTACAGGGAAGGCAATACTGCAATTCAGAATATTTATACACCTTCCCAGCAAACACCTGTGCAGTCTCTAACAGCGATTGTCTGAGACAGTACAAACATTCAAGCTGTCTATTTGCCTACCTCCACACCTATGTCCCAGAAGAACCTAGAGTTTTCTAGAAAGTAGGGAAGAGCAGTCAAACCTGCAGCTTGTGAAGTCCAGAACAGCCAAAAGCAATCAACAATGCTGGCTACAGAGCAGCCAAAAACTAAATTTAGCTAACATCCTATCAGCCTAACTAGGAGGGTGGTACACTTGATATATTGGGTGGTAATCCTGACCTCAGATTGTTTTAATGTGCTGTTGTAGTGGCACCACAATAACTTGACAGTAACTGTGCCACCTCTGGTGCCACCATAGGTTTGAATGAACAGCGCATGCACCACGCCATATGCCCCCTGCCCATAGAGGCTGACTGACAGCACAGAAACTCAATCTATTGTGGATAGTGAATATCTGGCAACACAAATCTCCCCCAAATGTCATGTGAATAATAGAAGCCTCAGCAGCAATAATCCTCATACTTTTGGTTTCAGCTTTCAAAATAAATAGCAGGGTAGCAGGACCATGTGACCTGGTTTTAGACTATAACTTTAGTTTAGGTTAAGTTGACAATGCTGTTGATACTGCATGTACCACAAATTCTCTTAATGTACACCATTGGCGTGAAGCCCTTTAAGTTCTATGAGTCACTTATATGTTCAGTTTCTTAACAAATAGTATTATTTTTTATTTTCAAAGAATCTTTGCTTACTGTACCAAACTTTTCTTTCATTCCTATACTGGTTTCACAAATGACCAGACCATCTGAAACTACTTATCATTGAACCATAAATGGCTAAACAACATTTGGAAGCAATCTTTACCTTTGCACACTATAGAATGATAACGCTCTTCCTTCACTTTCATATATTCTCATATGTGCTCAATATTTTCAAATAAAAGAAAAATAAAGATCGTACCAACTACAGCAGGCACAGAGTTCACAGATACCCATGCTAGAATGAATGTTCTGCTGATAAATGATGCACATTGCTGCTTTTTATATAATATGTTCACATTAGCTTCTGGGTCAATAAACCTTGAGGCCTCAGCAGGCCAGAAATTTATATCCATCTAATCTCCATTAACGGTACTAAAATGAGAACTAAGGCATTAGCAAGAACACTTTTAGAGTAGGACAAAGCTCTGTCAGACTGCAAAATCAAGCAAAACCTACTCTTTAAAAAAAAAAAATTAATTCCCTAAAAATACACACAATATTCCAAGCATAAAGCTGTTCAAACTGAATGTTAGTAAGACAGGATTTAATAAAGAGCACATCAAGCAAGAGTCCATGGATTTCTAACAGTTTCTGCTAAACATGTTTAACGTATAGAATTACTAGAACACTGTATTCTCTTTTAGTGCTGCTTGTCTGTATTGCCAAATACATTTCTGGTTCAGCCTCAGGAAAGTTCAACTGTGATAATACATATTAAGAACAACCTTGATTTTCCCAACTAATACAGTATAAAATGTATATAAACTTATTAAGCAAAACTGGTATTGAGTACCTACAATCATTCAACATCACAGTTGAAGGCGCTTTGTTTAAATCAACAATTAGAAATCCATGGAAAGATCACAAATATGCAGCCTTATGAAAAAAAAAGTAAAAACTTAAAAGGATGGCAAAACCACTCTAATGCTGGCTTGTTATTTTAGTATGCAAAATCAGGTTAAGGCCTCAGCTAAAATCTAAGTCCTTGCCTGTAGGGCTGGGAGGGCTATGAGTACTGATGGCAGTAAGGGCTTTGGAAAAGCCAACACATTCCATGGAGAACACAACTACCTGATGAGGGCTGGGAATAGAAAAGTATTTCCCTGCCAAAACAAAACAGAGAGAAAGAGTTCAGAGCATGTGATGGGCTGTCAAGGGTTTTAACAAAACACATTAGGGAGGGGTACTTCTAAAAATTCTGGGTATTAAGACTCACCACTTCATCTTAATAAAGACGTTGGTTTGCTACCCTTGATACTAAGCAGTTAATTTGTCACAATACACTTTTATTAACATTAACACATCTCCATACTTTAGGAAAATGATATTCAAACTACCAGGAAGCTGCATCACTCAGCACAGCACTGCAGAATAAAGATGCAGGCCTTCATTCAGCTGCTGTGAGTGTAAATAATAATGTACTCCAAAGCCACCTACTGAGCTGTATACAATTACCTTATACACGTACTGAAAGCACACCCGTACTTTATGCAATAATTGTCAAATAACTAAATTCAAACATGGTTTACATTAACATTTTAAACTGTCAGCAGACACATAAAGCAGCACCCAGAAAGGCTTCTATGAATAACTGCAAATTTCGCACAGTGCCCCAGGATTGCTCTGTTATGCACACTTCAGCCAGCTCCAGCGGTCAAATGCTTAGGATAGTCCTCATCTACGTCACACAGATACACAGTTATGGACAGATCGTGAGGTACAGGAAATCAGAGTGGATAGACCCATGCTTTCAACCACAGAAGTGGTTTAAAATTTTCCATAACAGAAAGGCCTGGGTTTCTAGGTGATTCAACAATGTGTATGATGATCTATGCAGGAAAGTGTGGGTGACTGCTGTACCTGCACTATAAGAGTTTGAAAAAGTTAATTGTGGACAAAAGTTCATTTTAAGCAGTTCAAACATGGCTTTGCCATAAATCTTTCACAAAAAGTTGAGTTTGGCCTCCCTTGTCCCTTGCCTTCCTGTTGGTCTTTTGATGTGATAAGCCTCTTCTCAGATTTATAGAAATTGTGTGAAATGGGAAAAGACTTGTCCAAACTTTACTTTTACAGGTTTTCCAGATCTGTATATCACTTCATCTTACTTTATCCTAATCTTACTTTAAAGGCAGCCTGTCGCTACTGCTTATAGCCATTGATCCCACTGCTGAACTCTGGAAGAAGTGCTAAATCTGGTTTGGACAGGTTAATAAACATGTTGTTGCACATGCTGTGCCTAGGACCAACACCAATCTGGGAGATGAGAAATGGAAGCCTCTTATCACTAGAAGGAAGTTTCAGATCTAAAATTTAACAGCTGTTGCAACAGGTTCCCTGTTAAACCCTACTGCCAATCATATTATCAACAATTGGTTTTTTAAGGAGTCATATCCCATTAGCTTAATTATTAGATTGCGAATAATTTAAAAAATTTAATTTTTTTTTCTATTTAAATATTCTAGCAAAATCCTGCTAACATAAGCAAACACTGTATAACTCAAAGGGTTTAAGAAAGGGGTGAGAAGAGAGAGATCACATTTATTAAGCACAGTAAGCAAGTAGGTTGTTATGCTAATTAATACCAATCTGCATAAATATATGAAAAACAAATGAAACACATGAAAAACAAGACATTTCTGCAACATTCTTGGTTACAGCGGTATTACACTCCAAACCAAAAATGTATTATATTGCAGCTTACCAATCATTACATGTGGTGGCTGCATCAGTTTTCTTTTCTTTGTTTTGTTTCCTCTGTTTTCACCTGGAGATCTCACCAGTAACACACCTCCTGTATTATAGTGCCCCCATTATGGATGACTGAGCACAGGAGGCACAGCAGACAGTAGCACTGTCAGTCGGGGGGGGGGGGGGGGGGGAGGTGAAAGGGAGTGTTAAATGTATTAGATTTAAATGCGCTAATTGAAACCAAACTCCAGCTCAGACGTTATAATCAGTTGCAGCAAACAGTTTTTTGGGATAAAGGTTTTACATAAAAAAATAAAAGCTAATCATTTTAAGCACCTCTGCTAGTGGGTTGTCTCACTCATGTAAACTCATGCATTCCGCTGGAGAGCTTGTGCTTTTGAAAAACAACAAACTTGCTGGTTGGATCACCAGATGAAAAGAGAAGAAAGCAAGCCTAAGCCCTCATGCACACTTGACATTTCATTTTTACAGCTGCTGTTTTTGGCTTTTGACATTTATTTCTACAGCTAGTAAACCCCCAGCATGTTATTCTATGTGTCCATGCAAACAGACTGTAATCAACGTATTTTGGCTGGAAAAAAAACCCCAGGACTAGTAGGTTTCTAGAGGAGTTTTTTAGCGGTAAAAACGCTCAAACGCTGAAAAACACGGTAAAACACTGCAAACCAGCAGTTTTGGACTTTTTTTTTGCCAAAAAAAATTTTTTTTTTCTTTGGTAAAAAGACGCCAAAAACCGAAAATACGGGAAAATGCAGCTAAACGCGAATGCTAAAAGAAGCTGAAAAACTCATGTTTTTAACGCGACTTTACACAGCTAACGTTACCAGCGTTATCAAAACGTCCAGTGTGCATGAGGGCTAAAAAATAAAATGAATGCAGCCATCACATGTAAGATTTGGTAAGCTGCAATATATTAAATGTTTGCTTTTGGGTTTAATAGCACATTGTAATTACCAAACAACATTTCTGACACAGATAAAAATAAAAGATGTAATTCAAAGCAGACCAACCTGTGACAGGTTTAACAGGCATCTGTCCTCTGCATGGGATTCGTGCTCCTCCTCCATAGACTGCTGACCACATCTTGTCATTTAGAGGATGAGCAACGACACAAAATAATTCCTGGCTGGAGTGAGTGGCTAGTCCATGACTGAACAAACTCAAGTAGACAGCAGTCAGAATTTCACAAAGCAGAATAGTGAGTCCTGGCTGAGCTTCCTCTCCAGCAGAATTCAGCAGGCGAATTAATGAAGTTATGCCTAAAAATGTGACACACACAACTTATTTTCAGCAGTCTTTATAAAGGGAAGGCATGGTGTTTTTTTTTTTAATTTTATTTTTAAGATAGACAAACCACAAATATATAGTCAGGCAAATATGAATACAGTATATAGCATATAAATAGTATATTGCCTCTGTCTAGTCAGCAGGTGGAGCTTTAGGTTCCCTTTCACGTCTCTTCTATTTACCATCTGCTGGGAATAGCCTGTTTACAGAGATCAACAGCTCCAGCAGAAACTTACAAAATTTAGTCTAAGGTTTCCATGAGACTCACTGTTTTTGCTGTGTTCATACTTTGTCATGTATAGATTTTTTTACATATAAAATAGATTTAAAACAATTTAAAAATGCATAAACATTAAAATAAAATAATTTATAAGGACATTCTTTCAAAAGATGCTGCATTCATCCCCCATGGCTTTCCAAGAGAACTGAGCGATTGATTAAAGACCAGTGATCGCTAGGTTCTCCGTCTTCAGGAGCATATGGTCGGGATCCTTGGAGAGCCTGGACTGGCTCTGTGACATCTGCCGACAGTGGGTTTTAGCCCACAGTTGGCTGAAAGTGGGTCAAAGGAGTGCAGTTAATACTGCACTCCTGTGATTCCTAGAAGTAGGGTCAAAATAGCTTTGACCATACTTCTCCTTTTAAGGAAATAACTTGCATTCAAAGACCGATAAGTAATATTTTTCACTTCTGCCAACATACAGTGGACATAAAAAGTCTAAACACCCCTGTTAAAATGTCAGGTTTCTGTGATGTAAAAAAAAAAGAGACAAAGATCAATCGTTTCAGAACTTTTTCCACCTGTAACCACAACAGATATACTGCTACAGGGCAGCAGGGGTGCACAAAATCATGTAAGTATACGTGATTTTGTGTTTTCTGGTGGGGGGTGGATGCAAATGGCGCACCTGCGCCCTACCCGTGCCACCATTCGCATCCGCGGCTGTCAATCACCAGGTCCCAGCTGGTGATTACCTGCCGGTGCCCAGTGATTACCGAGGATCTCCAACGGGGAGTAGGGCTGCTTTATTTACTAACAGTCTTCCTCCCTGTCGGCTCTGGCACACTTCTCTGGATGACTGTGCGCAGCCCAGCCATCCAGAGCAGTGTGCTTACAGTGAAGCACCAACACACCGCCCCCCCCCAGTAAAACACTCCCTGCACACAGTTAACCTTTTGATCACCCCTCATGTTAACCCCTTCCTGCACAGTGCCACAGTGTCATTAGTACAGTGTCAATGCTTAACTGATCACTGTATTGGTGTCACTGGGATGTCAGTCACACCAAGTCAGTTCCCCCCAGTGTCAGAATGCCCGCTGCAGTCCCGCTATAAGTCGCTGATCAGCGCCATTACTAGTAAAAAAAAAAAAAAAAAAAAAAAACAAATTCCAGTATATATACACACCGCCATTTGTAAACGCTATAACTTTCATGTAAACCAATTAATTTACACGTATTAGGATTTTTTTTAACAAATACATGTCGCAGAATACATTTTGGCCTTTGATTTGATTTTTTACATTTTTTTTTTTTTACGGGACATATTTAACCACTAGCCTACAGAGCTCTTATACCCCCTTCCTGCCCAGGCCAATTTCAAGCTTTCAGCGCTGTCGCACTTTGAATGACAATTGCACGGTCATAAAAACACTGTACCCATATGAAATTTTTATCTTTTTTTGTGACAGATGGAGCTTTATTTTGGTGGTATTTAATCACCTCAGGGTTTTTTATTTTTTCTTAAACAAACCAAAAACCACTGAAAATTTAGAAAAAAAAAAAATGTTGTTCTTACTTTTTGTTATACAATTTTGTAAATAAATGATTTTTCTCCTTCACTGATGTGCGCTAATGAGGCTGCACTGATGGGTACTGATAGGCTGCACTGATGAGGAGGCACTGATGGGCATTGAAAGGCAGCACTGATAGGTGGCACTGATAGGTGGCACTGACTGGCACGAATAGGCGTCACTGACTGGCACTGTTAGGCGGCACTGACTGGCACCGATTGGCAGCACTGATAGGAGGCACTGATTGGCATTGATGGGTGACACTGAACGGCAGCTCCAATTGGCACTGATATGTGGCATTGATGTGCACTGGAGAGCACTGACATAAGGCACTGATGGGGCTACACTGATCATCAGTGCCCTGATGATCAGTGTACATGTCCCCTCTGCGGTAAGCCGATTACCGGCTCTCCTCTCCTCTCGAGCTGTCAGTGTGACAGCTCGAGAGGAGAGAAATGCCTATAACCGGCATTTCCCTGTTTACATGTGATCAGCTGTGATTGGACACAGCTGATCACATGACCGAGCCGACATCTTCGGTTCTTTCCATGATCGGTGATCCGCTGTGTCCGAGGAACACAGCGCACCGCCGATCGACGCATGCTCCCTGAGCCGCGCATGCGCAGTGAGAATAGGAGGACGTCATATGACGTCCTCCCAGAACAAGAGAACCACCTTGTGACAGTCATAATACTATATGGCGGGTGGGAGGTGGTTAATAACAAAAGTCAAAAATATTGCGGTTTTCTCAAAATCGTCAGTCTTTTATTTATAGCGCAAAAAATAAAAAAACCCGCACAGGCGAACAAATACCACCAAAAGATAGCTCAATTTGTGGGGAAAAAAAAGACGTAAATTTCATTTGGGCGCAGCGTTGCATGACCACGCAATTGTGAGTTAAAGTAACGCAGCACCCGAATGCAAAAAATGGCCTGGTCAGGAAGGATGGTAAATCCTCAGTGTAATGGAACCGACCCAATCTGAGTAGTTAAGTTAGAATACTGCTTCCCCATCAAAACACCGATAACAGACACCACAGCCGACTGTACAAGACTAGACGACACCAGTCCTGAAGTAATCCAAAGGTTAAACTACTTTATTTGAACACAGATAAAAGATATATACACTCGGGACAATCCCCCCCCTCCCTGCATAATGACACAGGGCGGGGCAATCTACATTTAGTAACAAGAGACACACAGGTATTCAAAATATCACACCAGCAGACAGTCCCATCAGGAGGAAGGGCTGCTGGAGACACCCCCCCCCACTAAGCTAGTACACAAACACATACATCCCATAATAGTTTGCTCCCAAACCAGACACACAATAAAACAATGGGATGCAACCACATGACATTAAAACAATCAACAACCCCCACACAATATTAGGACAGATCACCCTGTACCCCTAACAGGCACAGGGTGATTTACACATAAGAGGGATATGGGGAGCTAAGACAGGGGTCTCCTCACCTCTCTAAAGTGAGCTGGGTTCCATGGGCCCCCCCATCCAAAGTGACTCCCGTCACACTCAGCAGGGCAAGTGGTTAATGTAACCTATAAACTGTACAACTTTGTTGAACAACAAAATGAAATCATTTAGGTAGAGGGAAGTAAAAATAAAATAATATGGTTGCATAAGTGTGCACACCCTTAAATTAATACTTTGTTGAAGCACCTTTTGATTTTAATTATAGCACCCTATTTGGGTATGAGTCTCTCAGCATGGCACATCGTCCTTGCAAAAACACTCTAAATCTGTCATATTGTGAGAGCATCTCCTGTGAACAGTGCTCTTCAGATCAACCCACAGATTTTCGATCGAATTAAGGTCTGAGCCATTCCAAAACTTTAATCTTCTTCTGGTGAATCCACTCCTTTGTTGATTTGGATGTATGCTTTGGGTTGTTGTCAGGCTTCTGCTAGAAAGCCATTAATTGGTATTTGGAACTGTTCATAATTCCCTCTACCTTGACTAAGGCCCCAGTTCCAGCTGAACAAAAACAGCCCCAAAGCATGATGCTGCCACCACCATGCTTCACTGTGGGTATGGTGTTCTTTTGGTGATGTGCAGTGTTGTATCTGCGCCAAACATATCTTTTGGAATTATGGCCAAAAACTTCAACCTTGGTTTCATCAGACCATAAGACATTTTCCCACATGCTTTTGGGAGACTTCATATGTGTTTTTGAAAAATTTATCCAGGCTTGGATGTTTTTCTTTGTAAGAAAAGGCTTCAGTCTTGCCACACTACCCCATAGCCCAGACATATGAAGAATACGGGAGATTGTTGTCACATGTACCACACAGCCAGTACTTGCTAGATATTCCTGCAGCTCCTTTAATGTTGCTGTAGGCCTCTTGGCAGCCTCCCAGACCAGTTTTCTTCTAGTTTTTTCATCAATTTTGGAGGGACGTCCAGTTATTGGTAATGTCACTGTTGCGCCATATTTTCTCCACATGATGAGGACTGTCTTCACTGTGTTCCATGGTATATCTAATACCTTGCAAATTCTTTTGTATCCTTCTCCTGACTGATACCTTTTAACATTGAGATCTCTCTGATGCTTTGGCAGCTCTCTGAGGACCATGGCTTTTGCTGTAGGATGCAACTAATGTCAAGAAAATGTTGAGAAAGACCTACTAGAACAGCTGAACTTTATTTGGAGTTAATCATAGGCACTTAAAAATGATGGCAGGTGTGTACTGACTCCTACTTAACATGATTTTGAATAAGATTGCTTAATGCTGAACACAGCTACATCCCCAGTTATAAGAAGGTGTGCACACTTATGCAACCACATTATTTTAGTTTTTTTTTATGTTTACTCCCCCCCCCCCAAAAAAAAAGATTTCACTTTGTTTTTCAATTGAGTTGTACAGTTTATACGTCACATTAAAGGTGGAAAAAGTTCTTAAATTATTTATCTTTGTCTCATTTTTTACATCACAGAAACCTGACATTTTAACAGGGGTGTGTAGACTTTTATATCCACTGTATATAAAATGTAATTGTCAGCATATAGATCTATAAATCCTGTGGACACAGCAGAATGCTATATCTATTTGGCTACCATTACCTGTACTAAAATTATAACCAAGAGGCTATAAAAGAAAACTATAGCATAGAAGTTACAGCGCATGTGAACTCTAACAATTAATTTCTCTTATTTGCCCCCATAAACATAGCGTTAAACATAGCACTGAAAGTGTTTCATTATATTTGTTCAACAAGCGCCAGAAATCTTGTGAGCGGATAACTTCCTGTGCTTTCTGTCTCTGGTAAAATTGTAATCCTAGGACAAGTGTGATAATGGCATGTTTACCAGGTTAACCTCCTCCCGCCCGCCATATTGTAATATGAAGGACGGAAGGCAGTTCTCTCGTTCTGGGAGGACGTCATATGACGTCCTCCCATTCTAACCGCGCATGCGTGGATCTGGGAGCACGCAGCGTGGCGATCGGCGGTGCGCTGAGTCCGATTACCGATCCACAGAAAGAGCCGAATATGTCGGCTCGGTCATGTGATCAGTTGTGTCCAATCACAGCTGATCACATGTAAACAGGGAAATGCCAGTTATCAGCATTTCTCTCCCCTTGCTGACAGCTCATGAAGAGAGGAGAGACGGTAATCAGCATTCCTCAGAGGGTACATGTGCACAGATCATCAGAGCACTGATGATCAGCGTGCCCTGATGATATGTGTAGCCCCAGCAGCGCCATCTGTCAGTGTCCATCAGTGCCAGCTCTCAGTGCCCATCCATGCCACCTGCCAGTGCCCATCCATGCCACCTGCCAGTGCCCATCAATGCCACATATCAGTGCCCATCTGAGCTGCCTTTCAGTGTCACCTATAAATGCCAGTCAGTGGCACCTATCAGTGCCGCCTGTCAGTGCCGCCTGTCAGTGCCGCCTGTCAGTGCCGCCTGTCAGTGCCATATATCAGTGCTGCCTTTCAGTGCCCATCAGTGATGCCTGTCAATGTCCATCAGTGCCACCTACCAGTGCCTCCTCATCAGTGCCACCTATCAGTGTCCATCAGTGCAGCCTATCAGTGCCCATCACTGCAGCCTCATTAGCACATATCAGTGAAGGAGAAAAATCACTTATTTACCAAATTTTATAACAAAAACTAAGAAAAAAATGGTTTTTTTTTTTTTTTTTCCAAAATTTTTAGTGGTTTTTGGTTTAAGAAAATAAGTCTGACAAAAGAAAAAACGAATGCAGCCATCACATTTAAGGACCATTAAGCTGCAATACTATCAATTTCAGTTATGGGGTTTAAATGCACTTTAAGCTCCACTACAATGCAACACAAAACAAAAAGTACCTTTGAAAGAAGAAATATCTAAAAATAGACAATATACCTGCAAGCATACAGTAATTAAAAATGATAATTAGTAAAATAGGATGCAACAAAATAAGCCAATGGTTTCCAAACTGCAGCCCTTTGCTTGCCTGTACCTGGCCCTTGGGGCACTATACCTCGCACTGACATTAACAACGTGGCATTATTCTTGCCTCTGACATCAATGATGGGGGCACTGTTCCTCCCACTGACATCAATGATGGGGCACTGTTCCTGCCACTGACACCAATGATGGGGCACTGTTCCTCCCACTGACACCAATGATGGGGCACTATTCCTCCCACTGACACCAATGATAGGGCACTATTCCTCCCATTGACACAAATGATAGGGCACTATTTCTATCACAGACACAAACAATGTGGCACCATTCCTTCCCCTGCCACAATGATGGGACAATGTTACCGACACCAGGACATTTTCTATTCCCATTGGCTATACTCTGGCCCTTCTGAAGTCTGAAGGATAGCAAATTGGACCTTTGTCTAAAAAGTTTGGAGACCCCTGACATAGGCAAACCAAACTAGAGCACAAGGGATTTCCACAGCTACTACCAGATGCATTCTAATAAACATATTTCCTGTCTCCATAGCCAAATGTACATGTTGTTTAGTATGTTGTTTAGTATCAGAATATTTTTGGTGTGGTATACTTTAGTTACATTAACCTGGACTTTCACTTTCTACATTATAAAACTAATTTTACTGACAATACTGTATTTAGAACAAAATTAAATCTCATATCGCACCTAACACTTAATTTTTGCTGTCACATTACACTGAGAGGGGGGGACTAGCCTTAAAGCGGAATGTCTCCAAAAAGGGGAAGTTCTGCTTTAAGTCCCCTCCCCCCTCCTGCCCCATATCTGACACTGGAATGGAACCACTTATTTTTAAAGGTTTTACATAGCTATACCTGCAAAAAAGGCCAGCTTGAAGTGATCTAGGAAGACTTAAATTTTCTGACTAAAGTTCCACTTTAAGAAGGAAACAACCTCAATAGGAACTGTGAAGTACTTGTGGTGAACAGAAATGGCAGGATCCACTACTGAAATAGACTCTTTTTAAAATCCTTTTCCAAATGACATATAAAAAAAGGAGGAGGAGATTAAACCTTTTCGGCGTACAGCCATCATTATATAGTGCGCACAATCAATCTGTGCGTATACAGGAAAAGTCTTTTCGGATCTAACCAGTGTGTTAATACTTATAGGGCTCTGTTTGGGCTGTAGAGAATTAAGTGTGGTTAGGCAAAGACTAGTTCGAACTGCATCAATTAGTGTGTCCACAGTGGACAGCATTTGGCACAAAGCTATTGTAATTCATAAGCTTCAGATGAGGTTCTGGAAGTGCAGAAAGTTTTCCAAGGAGTACAGACATAGTGGCAGAAAAATCTGCTTTGTCCCTGGGAGAAGGGAACAGCTATCACCCTGAACAGTGTCCTGTGTTTTCTGTAGGCTATTCATGGAATGCATGCTATTATGCACCTGTGATCGGTCATTGCTAGTGATAGGATCCCCAGTGGTGTACTTCTGGTTCAGGATGGGTTTTGCATGTATGTAGAAGGCCGCTATAACCAGGCACCGACCAAGTTCTTCTGGCTGTGTTTGTTTAGAAAGTGGGAATGCAGTGAGGCGGGTGGAAACATGTCATCTGGGAAGTGTGACATAGATACCTCATCCTCCTGAGACTAAGTCCAGATAGTTGGTAAACTGAACTGAAAAGATGCCTGATCATATGCATCATAAACTGCACAGAATGGAACCATAAGGATCCAACTTATGTAATAAGAACATAGTACAAATAAGTATAACAGATCAAAAAAGATAAACATGGTCAAGACGAAAGGTATGTATCCCAAAATAATCCTGTATGCGGGGGACATTAGTGGCTATGTTTCTGTAGAAGAAGGCCACAGAAATGCAGTGGGGCAGGTAATATCTCATCTGGGAGGTGTGATGTAGATACCTCATCCTTCAGAGACTAAGTTAAGACAATAGGGAAAAACACCAAAATTTAAAATATCTTGCTGAAAAGCATTAAAGACAAAATGGCAGGGGGTGCCACAATTAAGTGAACACCACCAAAATTCTCTGCCCAACCTTAACGGTATAGTGCGCAATGCCATACAGACAGTGTTTGGATTCCATATACAAGGAAATACTGACTAACCTTACCTACAAAAGCTGGGCCTATTGAGATCCAGGCTCCGCCTGTCATGATGAGCATACCCCAAAAGGGGGTCTCTAGAGTCAGGAAACCATAGAAATGGGCCACAATTCTAGACCTGTATAGCACCCTGAAGCAAATTTTTCATGTTGCACTTCATGCCAGAATGGACGTATAATGCAGGATCCAGTGCCCAAAGCAAACATTAAAGGATAGGGTATGGTCCCAGAGGCAGTCTGATGTTGATAGAAAATTCAGATGAAAAAAAAAAAACACTTCAGTGGTTTAGAAATAAAAATTACTTCTCCAGAGAACAGATCCATCATCTAAGGAGACTAGCAAATAAACAGAGCTTCACAGAGTGGGTGGGATTATATAGGTATGCTCTAGGGTTACATTTTTGCAATTGTTCAATAACCTGAAGGTAGCTGTATGTAACCCATGGTCTATGAATACCAGTCCTGTGTGGTTAAGATAAAAAGTTTTCTGTGAGATGTAGAAGTAAATTACCAAAAAATTACTGATGTGTATCATAATGAGTGAAATGCTAAAGAACCACCATGCTAAGCAGCATACACAAACAAACTGGTGACACACAGTGTAAATTCACAAAAACAACACTTTGAGTAAAAAAAAAACAAAAAAAAACCCTTATAGACAATTGTGGCAGTTAAAATAAGTGTTGAGAAAAAGTGTTAACAGCTTTGTGGGCGTTCTTCCTCCTCAGCACAGATCATAGAGAAAACAGATACGTTATTCTAGGTCTCTGATTTAGGAGATCAGCCAAGCTGTATATTAGCAGCCCTTTCAGCTTCAAATGAGAAGGGGCACAACTAAGTCACAATTATTAACAGGTTATATATAGATATCTACACAGCTCTTAGAAACCATTCAAAGTTTTGTTTAGAGTACCTGGCCAATGAGTGGGAGATGTGTTTGGCATCACTGCTTCATCCAGACTTGTTGTTCTTATTGGTTGTCTGTGAATAAGCAGAACACTCTGGTACACCATACCTGTAAATGGATTGGTCTGCATGGAGGCACTGAAATAAAAAGACACAACAGTGACATACTGCTGGTGTTTTTGACCTAGCACAGGGTTTCACATATGTTTAAATTAGCATAGTGCAGCGCAAACCCCATTCTCTGACTTGCATATTGCAGAACCCAGGTTCCTGCTTGCAGAACTCAAAAAACCCTATTCACCTTTGTTTGCATAGCACTAAACACAGCCAAAAGCGCAAGGCACTGAAGAATAGAAATATTCTAAAGAATGCCTGTGGATGCCCAAGTATATACATGTATTTTAGAGGATATGTCTGAAGTGACAGCAACTGCCACTGATATTAAACAAAAAATACAGCCGCTAAAATTATACTTGAAAGCTTTAAAGAGTTACTGAACATTTCACATTTCTAGTGCCTTGATTTTCAGTCTTCTTGACTTATAAAACCTAAGCACAAATATAACTGTACTGTACCTGTTGGCTTGCCCTCCACAAAGGCACTGATATATGCAGGCAGAAAGGGATGCAGCCAGAGTATGCATTACATAAATCTGGAAGATAGAAAGTAAAATGTGTGTAAATATTCTCTGGATAAAATTATAAACGCTCTCATTAAAAATGAATAGCATTTAAATACCCAGGTACTAAATAATACATTGATGATATAGAGAACCTTGCAAGATATGGGTTTGATAATGCATATAGTACATTTTGACCTCAAAGTATGTATTTTGGGTATCCAACCAGAAGAAACTGTTTCAGAAGAATTTCATCACCAGACTACTCTTTCTGACCTGCAATTAAATGCACAAAACCCACCCACATTCACCAACAGAGGGAACCTTGTCAATATCTTACTAGAATGGGAGAAACTACCATACCAACAGTGCCTACATACGTTCATGTCCACATAAGTTCAAAGATAGGGAAAATTGTCTGGATCTATCACATTGGCCCCACCTAACCTCATTTTAGACATGATGGAAAATTAGGATAATATACATACAAGAGTAATTACCAGACACAGTGTGGTATAGGAGGAACTGTACTACTTAACTTACTTTGCAGACAAAATAACAAATGTAATCTACAATACTTATTTATTGTGATGTACTGAATAATCTAAACATTTTAGATTGTTAGGCAGGCAACAGATGAGACTTTCTTTCCTGCACCACCATGCGCAGGGAGCTGTCCCTGCCATCTATAGCCGCTGGCAATATCAGTCAATCAGCCTGCTGACTGACTGTTTGAATCTCGGCCGTTTCCCTGCTGAACCGGATGAGATTCAAACCATCTATGGGTGGCTGAAGCTCCCAAGAAGGGCGCTTACCCTCGTGTTGTATTGTGTAGTACGGGTGTATATTCATTGTTAATTTCCACAGAACTTGGCATTAGTTATTAACTATGGCTGTTTAGTATGTATGTACATGCATATGTATATATATACAGTCATGGCCGAAATTGTTGGCACCCTTGATATTTTTCCTGAAAATCAAGTATTTCACACAAAAAAGGTATTGCATTAACACATGTTTTGCTATACACATGTTTATTCCCTTTGTATGTATTGGAACAAATATAAAACAGAGGCAGAAAAGCAAATATGACATAATGTCACACAAAACCCCAAAAATGGGCTGGACAAAAGTATTGGCACCCTTAACTTAATATTTGGTTGCACACCCTTTGGAAAACATAACTGAAATCAGTCGCTTCCTATAACCATCAATAAGCTTCTGACACCTCTCACCCGGAATTTTGGACCACTCTTCCTTTGCAAACAGCTCCAGGTCTCTCTTATTGGAAGGACACCTTTTCCCAACAGCAATTTTAAGATCTCTCCACAGGTGTTCAATGGGATTTAGATCTGGGCTCATTGCTGGCCACTTCAGAACTCTCCAGCGCTTCTTTGCCATCCATTTCTGAGTGCTTTTTGACGTATGTTTGGGGTCATTGTCCTGCTGGAAGACCCAGGATCTTGGACGCAAACCCAGCTTTCTGACACTGGGCCCTACAGTGCGACCCAAAATCCTTTGGTAATCCTCAGATTTCATGATGCCTTGCACACAGTCAAGGCACCCAGTGCCAGAGGCAGCAAAACAACCCCAAAACATCATTGAACCTCCACCATATTTTACCGTAGGTACTGTGTTTTGTTCTTTGTAGGCCTCATTCCGTTTTCGGTAAACAGTAGAATGATGTGCTTTACCGAAAAGCTCTATCTTGGTCTCATCTGTCCACAAGACGTTTTCCCAGAAGGCTTTTGGCTTACTCAAGTACATTTTGGCAAACTGTAGTCTTGCTTTTTTATGTCTCTGTGTCAGCAGTGGGGTCCTCCTGGGTCTCCTGCCATAGCGTTTCATTTCATTTAAATGTCGACGGATAGTTCGCGCTGACACTGATGCTCCCTGAGCCTGCAGGACAGCTTGAATGTCTTTGGAACATGTTTGGGGCTGCTTATCCACCATCCGGACTATTCTGCGTTGCAATCTTTCATCAATTTTCCTCATCCGTCCACGACCAGGGAGATTAGCTACAGTGCCATGGGTTGCAAACTTCTTGATAATGTTGCGCACTGTGGACAAAGGCAAATCTAGTTCTCTGGAGATGGACTTGTAACCTTGAGATTGTTGATATTTTGCCACAATTTTGGTTCTCAGGTCCTCAGACAGTTCTCGTCTCCTCTTTCTGTTGTCCATGCTTAGTGTGGCACAGACAGACACACAATGCAAAGGTTAAGTGAACGTCTCTCCTTTTTATCTGCTTTCAGGTGTGATTTCTATATTGCCCACACCTGTTACTTGCCCCAGGTGAGTTTACAGGAGCATCACATGCTTGTAACATTCTTATTTATCCGCAGTTGTGAAAGGGTGCCAATACTTTTGTCCAGCCCATTTTTGGAGGTTTGTGTGACATTATGTCGAATTTGCTTTCTTTCCTCCCTTTTTTTGTTTTGTCCCAATACACACAAAGGGAATAAACATGTGTATAGCAAAACATGTGTTAATGCAATACGTTTCGTGAGAAATACATGATTTCCTGGAGAAATATCAAGGGTGCCAACAATTTCGGCCATGACTGTATATATATATATACACATACACACACACACACACACACACACACACACACACACACACATATATATATATATATACACATATACATACACATACATATACACATATACACATACACACAAACGTATATATCTGTCTATCTGTATACTGGTTATCACAAATGGTCACATTCATTACTTCTTTCTTTGCATACATTGATCTTTCAGACCTTACCACAGATAGCCTCATTCATTGTCTCAAAACATTAAAGGAGGAATCCAGGCAAAATTATTATTTTCCCATGCAGTGGGGCTGTGCTAATGGGTTAAATGCTCATTTTTGTCTAGGTGCTCAGAAAGCACAGATATACTTGCCTAATCTGCCAAACCTCTGAGTGCAAGACCAGCCCCCGTGGCTCCTACCCCTCCACCCCCCCCCCCCCCCCCCCCCCGCACGCTAGCGGTTTTGTGGATGGGCTGTTCTTGACTGGCTCCGGATGTGACGGCAGGAACAGTCCACCTGTGGACGTGGAGAAGCGTGGTTTTCTGGAGGATTGGAGGAATGGGTAGATACAGCTTTTAGCTGAGCCCCTAGACAAAATGAGCACTTAACCCATGGAAGATATACACACACACACCTACACTAGACAACAAACACATCGTCACAGCCCCTTCTAGAATTGGATAGTGAATGTGCCTAGAATTTGAAGTGATTGTCATCTCCAGGACTTTCTGATGTTTGCAGAAGTTGGGGGCTCCCTTGATTAAACTGAAGCTGAATTTATCTTATCTTGTTTTATCATCTGTACTCCACCTTTAAACAAAGGTAAGTAAATCTCTTTTACTATACGACTTGTTTGTGGTAATCATTGTACTACATCAACAAATCTAAAAGGGTAAACATATAAATCTGTCAATAAATAAATAAATGTAACAAGGAATTTTAACCCTTTGTTACAGATTGCAACTGTACTGTCTCTATATTGTAAAGTGATGTTCACCACTTGACGCTATATAAACCCTGTGCAATAATAATTAACCGCCTCCCGCCCGCCATATAGTACGATGGGCGCAAGGCGGTTCTCTCATTCTGGGAAGACGTCATATGACGTCCTCCCATTCTAACCGCGCATGTGTGGATCCGGGAGCACGCAGCGTGGCGATCGGCGGTGCGCTGAATCCGATCACCGATCAACGGAAAGAGCCAAAGATGTCGGCTCGGTCATGTGATCAGCTGTGTCCAATCACAGCTGATCGTATGTAAATAGGGAAATGCTGGTTATCGGCATTTCTCTCCTCACGAGCTGTCACGCTGACAGCTCGTGAGGAGAGGAAAGCCTGTAATCGGCATCCCTCAGAGGGGACATGTACACTGATCATCAGGGCACTGATGATCTGTGTAGCCCCACCAGTGCCACCTGTCAGTGTCCATCAGTGCCTCGTGCCAGTGCCCATCAGTGCCACATCAATGCCACATATCAGTGCCTACCAGTGCACATCAATGCCACATATCAGTGCCCATCTGAGCTGCCTTTCAGTGTCACCCATCAGTGCCACCTATCAGTGCCAGTCAGTGCCACCTATCAGTGCCAGTCAGTGCCGCCTATCAGTGCCATATATGAGTGCTGCCTTTCAGTGCCCATCAGTGATGCCTGTCAATGCCCCTCAGTGCCACCTATCAGTGCCCATCACTGGAACCTCATTATCGCACATCAGTGAAGGAGAAAAATCACTTATTTACAAAATGTTATAACAAAAACTAAGAAAAAACGTTTTGTTTTTTTTTTCAAACTTTTCAGTGGTTTTTGCTTTAAGAAAAAACCCCCCAGAGGTGATTAAATACCACCAAAATAAAACTGTCACAAAAAAATTATAAAAATTTCATATGGGTACAGTGTTGCATGACCGCGCAATTGTCATTCAAAGTGCAACAGCGCTGAAAGCTGGAAATTGCCTGGGCAGGAAGGGGGTATAAGTGCCCTGTAGGCTAGTGGCTAAACATGCAGATAACCAATTGTATTTTACTGCACATCTGTACCCATTGTGATTTCATATAATCACTTTCTTTATAAACTGTGTGGCAAAATGTTGTATGTTTTCTGTGGGTTGGATTGAGAGATGATGTTTTTTTAATTTTGTTTTTCTGTATCCTTCATTTTATTTTCAGTTTGTTATAAAATGTAGACTACTGCCAATAAAATTGCTTAAGTAAAAAAGAAAAACAAACAAAAAAAAAAAACACACAAAAGCATACCTTGTTGTTTTGGATATCGGGATGAGGAGGTGAATCAAGATTTATTATGGCATGTAAGATATCATGCGTTAAGTTGCTCAGGTGTTGTAAAGGATTGGCTACAACAGTTTTGGCACTTGCTGTGCAAGCAAAAAGGAGTGGAATGGAAGTCTGTTCTGTCTGAGGATTAGAGAGGAGTGAGCTATCCTAAATGAGAAAACAATAGAAATCGAGTATAAATGAGTACAGCGCAAAAATTACAAGCAATATAGAAGTAATTACAGTCATTTAGTAAAAGGAATTACAAAAGACTTAATACATTCAGACTCAACACAATTACATCAAAATAATCTTGTGTTCAAGAGTAAACGTTAAAATTAAAGTTAAAACTATGCAGTACAGACTATTTTGAGCCCACTTTTTATAAGCCTTCAGGAATGGGCAGCTTTTAATTAATAATTAAATTCAGGGCATTTCAAGATTAAAACAGATCTAAATCTAAGAGCAAAAATGTGATATAAAACAGCTTCCTATTTCTTGGAAGTGGTAGAAAATGTGTCACTGTTCAGCAACTCAGAAATCACAAGGTTAGGTTCACACTAGAATGCAAGGCGGGAAACCCTCATTCTGTGCATGTTTCCACGTTTAAAACGTACTGTATGTGATCTAGAGAGAGTGTTAAGTTAACACCCAAACGCAGGTTGCAAACAGTGTGTTTGCCTGCAGCGGATCGGATGGTAGAAAAGTACCATGTGATCTGGCGGCAGTGCGTTTCCAAAAGAAGCGTATGTACTACCTTTGGTGCAATGCAGCGAGATCTGAGCCCATTCAAAATGAATGGGGTCAAATTGCACCTCACTGAATGAAACAGGAACGCCCAAGCATGTCTTATACAATTCATAATGTAAACTAAGGAGAAAAAAAAAGCCAGCACACACAACTGTGCACACTGGTATTTATTAATTTATTTTCTTTCCTTTATTTTGACTTGGTGATCCTGCTGGTAAGTCACCTGCTGGTAACGCACCTCCTGTCCTAAGGCAACAACATTCACTCACTGTAATGTATTCTATATAGTTGCAAATGATTTTCTGATTTTGACTAGAAAGACCTCCCTTCTCATTTCCTTAACATAGGATGAAAGTATTCTCTAGTTCACAAAAATGAGATGGAAAGATGATAATATTGTTGGAGATTTTAGTTCAGAGCACAGAAGTCCACAAGAACATTGGATTCATGTGGCAGGATCAACAGGTATTTTTCTGTATTTGCAGAAAATGTACTTGTCCTGCATCCACCAGATCTACAGACTGGTAATATATAATGTATTACATTTTTGTTCTTGGGTTTAGATGTATTTTAATTATGTTTCCTGTCAATCCAAATTTTCCATGAAATCAACCTAACTAAGCCTGTTCACAGCACCACATTGTATATTTCAGGTGGTGTGTTGTCATTCAATTTAAATAGTACTTCAAACCACCTTCAAAATGCACCTTTGTCTCAATGCGGGTTAAGGCATTGCTGTGCGTTGTGGTGTGCTGAATCTGAAAAAAGAGCAGGTTTGTTTTTCTGTTTGCACTGTTGCATTCAAAATAAATGGGCTGCCTTAACACAATACATGTCAGCATGCATGTGGTAATGCATTAGAAGAGAGCACACATGTAAGAATGGGCCCTATATGGTTTTAACATTTCAGAAAACACTTGCAGCTCATGTGGTAATGTGCTTGTGTGCCCTGTGCTCCTTATGAGAACATATGGCCTTAACTTAACAGCAAGATCTGACATGATAGATGCATGTGCTCATCAGTTGGTGCCTCTCTCCTCTGGAACCACTGGATACAGAGTAGAAGACATCAATAATTGCGCTGCTGTTGCTACTATCAGAGGGAGATTCTCCCTTTCAGTCTCTGCTGTGATCTAATCTAGTTCTAGCTGGCAAAAGGAGGAAATCTACTTTCAGATAAGGTGATTAGTGAGGTCAGGTGTGTAATATATTAGGAGAAACTTGTGAGGATAAAAATAATGAAGTTGTCATTGCAGACAAAGGGTGCAAGCTCAGGGCCATCATCCTGACACCTCGCTTTACTACCTGGTAATTCAACTGGAAGAAGCATGCAGGATTGGAAATCAGTCTTTCAGATGTTACTGTCAACGCCTGTTCCAGGTCCAGTGTTCTCCAAGTAGTACAGCTAGGATCAAGATGACTGGAGCCTGAGCTTTGAGAAAACAGCAATAGTGGTATCCAGAGTAAGTCCTCACAGGTTCACTTTAAAACTGAACTCCAGGCTAACAGCTAAATCCACAAATGTATTACATATCCAGCAGCTATTTTACCTGAAAAGGATTTGTATTTTGTCCATCCAACCGTGAGACTTACACAGATTTAGCAGGCTAGTGACCTGACTTTCTCCTGTTGTGATTGACCAGGGATGCTAATCGATCCCTCTGCCACTAGCCTGTGACTAGTCAATGCAGCAGCAGACTGATGAGCTAATCCCTCTGCTACATTTAAAAACAAATGTCATAATTTATAATACATACACAGTTGCATTAACTGGCCCCATTTATTTATTTGCCTGAAGTACAGCTTTACACACAATTCTACTCAATGCCAAAAATGTATTGTATGGTTAGATATACACTATATTGCCAACAGTATTGGGACACCTGCCTTTACAAAAATATGAACTTTAATGGCATCCCAGTCTTAGTCCATGGGGTTCAATATTGAGTTGGCCCACCCTTCGCAGCTATAACAGCTTCACCTCTTCTGGGAAGGTTGTCCACAAAGTTTAGGAGTGTGTCTAAGAATGTTTGACCATTCTTCCAGAAGTGCATTTCTGAGGTCAAGCACTGTGGTCAGACGAGAAGGCCTGGCTCACAGTCTCCGATCTAATTCATCCCAAAGGTGTTCTATCAGGTTGACTCTGTGCAGGCCAGTCAAATTCCTCCACCTCAAACTTGCTCATCCACGTCTTTATAGACCTTGCTTTGTGCACTGGTGAAAAGTCATGTTGGAACATGAAGGGGCCATCCCCAAACTGTCTCCACAAAGTTGGGAGCATGAAATTGTACAAAATGTCTTGGTATGCTGACACCATAAGGATTCCCTTCACTGGAACAAAGGGGCCACGCTCAACCCCTGAATCAAAACCCCACACCATAATCCTCACTCCACCAAACTTTGCACTTGGCACAATGCAGTCAGGCAAGGACCGTTCTCCTGGCAACTGTCAAACCCAGACATGTCTATTGGATTGCCAGGCAAAAAAGCATTATTTGTCACTCCAGAGAACACGTCTCCAGTGTTCTAGAACCCAGCGGCGGCATGCTTTACACCGCTGCATCTGATGCTTTGCATTGCACTTGGTGATGTGAGGCTTGAAAGCAGCTGCTCGGCCATGGAAACCCATTACATGATGCTTTCTATGCACGGCTGTGCTAATCTGAAGGCCATACAAACTTTCGAGGTCTTTAGCTATTGACTCTGCAGACAGTTGGCAACTTTTTGCACGCTTCTGCATGCGCTGACCCTACTCTGTCATTTTACGTGGCCTACTACTTGCTTCTGCTTTGTTAGAATACCACTAACAGTTGACTGTGGAATATTTAGTAGCAAGGACGTTTCACGGATGGAGTTATTGTACAGGTGGCAACCTATCTTGGTACCACGCTTGAATTCACTGAGCTCCTGAGAGCAACCCATTCTTTCACAAATGTTTATAGAAGCAGTCTGTATGTCTAGGTGTTTGACTTTGTATGCCTGTGGCCATGGAGGTGACTGGAACACCTAAATCCAATGATTTGGAGGAGTGTCCCAATACTTTTGGCAATATAGTGCATCTGCTCTATAAGGAATAGAATAGTTACACTAAATCTACGATTTCACTCAGACAGGCACAACAAGCTACAGTAGCTTATGCTTCTGAAACATGAAAATTGTGGTCTAGAAATCATTATGCTACACAAAAGCACAATAAAAAAAAAAACTAAGGAACTAAAGAAAGAGGAGGAGGTTGAGCATGCATATATTGGAAGGAAAATACCTGCTGTGACTCCTGCAAAAGTAGTATTAATTCCATACGTACAGAGGCCAAACCACCACCATGAGAGCCATGAAGTACACAAAAACTCAGGAACATTCTTAATAGTGATTGAAATTTCAACAGCCACTGACGTCTTTCAAGGAGTTCTTTCCTCTGCTTTGATGTAGCTTGATCCAAAGAGTCATCCAAGCTATCCTCATAAGAATACTGAACAGCTCCCACAGAACTCAGCTCATCCACATTAACACAATAATCACAAATCTTTTGAAGAGCAACAACTGCTCTTTCCAGCCAGCTATACAGCTGATACCTCAGTTTGCCACCATCAACTTCATAACCCGTGGATAATGTTCGCAGCTCCCCAGTAAGAATCTTTAGGCAAGCTCGAAACTTAAGCTGAGCAGCTATCACATCTTCTGTGGGACTGAGAAAATCATTCTCATCAATGCTACAGGATTCTGAGTAACTTGCACTGGTCATCATTTGTTTATTGTTTTCTGTGCTTTGTGAAGGTTTCACATCCTTCATTGAAAACCCAGATGTCAAAGATTCTTCATCTGTGTCACTATCCCACTTTAATTCTAAGGGCTCATCTTCAATAACCGTTGATGGTTGGCTCCAATCAAACAAATTGACAGAATGTGTTTGCTTCCCAGAGGATAAGTCAGATAAACCATTGACCATGGAGCTTGACCAGTCAAAGTCACAAGCTGAGTCTTTCTTTTCTCCAAGTAAGGGAGATACAGGTGTGGAAACTTTACTAGTATCTGCCAGACTTGAAGTTCGAAGTAGAGGCTTCGATTTTTTCACCACTTTGGGCATTTTGGATAATACTTCAAGGGCTAGCATTGGACATCCAGCTTTTAAATGAGCATGTGCAGTGGTGAAAAACAACCTTCTTTCACTTAGGTTAATTTTGTCAGCCAAACCATTTTCCATAGACAGGCACATTTTGGTATAGGACGACTCTGATGAGCCAAAATGGTGTCTCAATAACATGGGATGCGATCTTAAAAAATTATAGAAATTGAAGACTGATGGATCACAACTTGAAGACAGGCTCCAAGAATCATCTGTAAGAGAAATAATTATTATAATTTAGCAATATGGTACAGCAATCTATTTTTTAATGTTGCAATTTTATATTTAATATTGTGCATTATATACAATTTTTAGAAACCACTTTCTTATGAAAGCTAGAATCACAAGTATAAACACCTACTTCACCTTAACTTAATAAGACTCAACTCCTTCTTAGAATGAATGCGGCCCAGAAACAGATGCTATGCTCTTTTGGGCAAATGGTAAATTCCTCTTTTTAATGAAAAAAGATCAGTCCAAAACTACTTCAAGACTGCTCAACTAAGTGCATATAATTGCACACAAAAAATGGGAACCCCTGCTTAAACTGTTACTAAACCCAAGACCCTGCATTCACTATATCTGGTCTCCCACAGTACACAGAACATAGAAATGCAATTATTTTAGTAAATATAAACTGCTAAAAAATCTTCTCATCAGCAGTCTTTTGAATTCAGCAGAGCACTGGTTAACGCTTGCAGGAGAAGTTTTCTTTCTGCTCTAGGAAGATGTGAAAGTCCAGACCCTCTGTCTGGACAGTGTTGATCACATAGACTCTCCCAAGAAAAAAAAAACCTCTAGCAATACACACCAAACTGAGCATGTGACTACAGATTCAGTCTGTATCAGGTGGTCATTTCAAAAAGAGGAGGGGCAGAGAAGAAAGGATCAAACAGCCTTTTACACAATGCAGAGGATTAACCCCTTAGGTTCCACAGTGAGTATAACAAGCATGCTTTACTGCATATACAGACTGATTTTACTGTTGTGGGTTTAGTGACACTTTAACCTCCTCTCTTGAGACTCTTTACAATGCAAACGTAGCAAATGCTCCTGGATGATTAGACTGGCATTGTACCACAAGGCAGTTTGGGACTTCCCAACCTTCAGGCCTATTTTCAGGCTGCTCAAATAACCCATCTAGCTAATACCATGATCAAAGGTTCCACACTCTTGTGGGTGTCTTTCATGCCCCCCCTATGCTATTGGATCACTAATGTGGCTTCCCAATCATTTGCACAACATCCCCCCCCATCCTTTGTCCTATTCTGTCTTACTCTTTAGCTGTCTGGGACAGGCAGAGGGCCTGCAAACCTCTTTCCTCACCTCACACCTTTTTAGACCCTGTCTTTTGCAACCTGGAGTTTTACCGAAACAGTTCAAGTGGTGGATTAATAAAGGACTCTTCTGAATAGAGGATTTCGTAATGGTAATAAAACAAACATTGCAATGCTATCATGAAAAATGGCAAATGCCCACCACTGAAACATTTTGCTGTAAAAACTAATTGTATTCTTTGTTCAAATTAAGCTTAAATTGGTTGTAAGATCACTAACCCTTACAACCTTTGAATTATCCTGTCGAATAAGAGAAGAATATCTCCCTTGAATTAAATGAATGGCAGGAAACTGTTCATGCCGTATCTAAAATATCCATCAATTTGATATTGAAAGAATCTAATTATAAACCACTATTGAGATGGTATCTGGTACCCCGGGTGTCTCTCTCCTTAATGGCTGAGATACAGCAGCCGGAACCATTGGCTCCATCAGCTGTCAATTACAGCCAGTGACTGAGGGTTTGACTGAGCCAAACTCTGTGTGTCCTGTGTCCCACAGACACACAGAGCCTGCTCATAATCACACATGCATGAGTGCCCCTAGAGGAAGCAGCTTGATCTGAGGGCACTCAGCAAGGGGGAGGGGCCAGAAGCATTTGCGCGAAACTTGAGAAGAGGATAGGGGCTGCTCTGTGCAAAACCATTGCACAGAGCAGGAAAGATTATGTGTTTATTATTTTAAAGAGAAAATGAGCCTTTAGAACCACTTTAGGAAGTTGGTCTGCCTTAAAGGAGTATAGAGTCAGCTGTATTCGTGCATTAATGAGCCCTGGGATGGAAGCGCAGTATGTTTGGTAACAGGACATCTGCATTTGGTGTGAGACACAGGGAGAATGTTTTTACAATTGCACTTTATAATGGATTAATAAAAGGACAATTGTACTGATGTAAGAGATTTGTTTTTTAAATACACTACACTATATAGTTTTGTTTTCTTTGGGAATATTCCGTGGCAGATGTATGAGGAAGGAAAGAAGGAGGAGCACTAATTGGTGAAGAAGCATATCTGGAGAATTCGGTTATTTCATCAAGCATTGCATGAACCACTGTTTTTTGGGGGGGGAAAATATTTTTATAAGGGAAGGAGGAAGAATTTATTACATAAGAGACCAGAATGCATAGCTATAAACTACTCCTATTTAAATACGCTGATTTTGCAATGCATATGTGCTGAAATGTGTTGATCAACTGTTGTTTATGGTGTGAATGGACTCTTAACTGATCATGCAGATCAAATGTCACCCCTTTGACCTGCTATGAATTAACAAGAGAAGTTACAATGAAGCCATAAAATATTTGCTTCATTGTATTTCTTAATGACAGACTGATGTTCTGAGTGTCAGCATATACAGTGTAGAGTGCAAAGATTTCCTGTGTAAAGAAAGCAAATATCAGCTACTGCAGGTAAATGGTAAATGTGGTGGAGAACTGAGTGGGAGAAGGAGGAGCTGGGTGCATTGCACACACCTGTACACCTTAGATGGAGTTTTTTTTTTTTCGGTTATGAGTGGCATGTCCAGTGTCCTTAAGCGGCGAAGTAACAAATGTTGACTTCTACAGCTGGTGTTTTCTAGATAACACAAACCAGCCAGTCAGAAATAACAAGGCCTTGTTCACGTCAGCAGTGAGAGGAGGTAAAAACAGGCAGTTGAGCAGTGGTTTTACTGTCCCCTCACACAGTGCCTCCTTTCTACTTCAATGCAAAAATTGCCTCCCGTTTACTTCAATGCAAAAATCGCCTCCCACTGACTTCAATGCAAAAATCGCCTCCCACTGACTTTAATGCAAAAATCGGCTCCTATTGACTTCAATGCAAAAATGCCTCCCATTGATTTCAATGCAAAAATGCCTCCCATTGACTTCAATGCAAAATCGCCTCCCAATGGTTTCCAAAGCAAAATTGCCGCCCACTGACTTCCAATGCAAACAGACCTCCCATTGCCTTCAATGCAATGTTGCGTCCCTTTGACTTTAATGCAATGTTGCGTCCCTTTGACTTTAATGCAATGTCGCGTCCCTTTGACTTTAATGCAATGTCGCGTCCCTTTGACTTCAATACAATGTCACGTCCCTTTGACTTCAATGCAAAAAACTCCTGTCAATAGCAATCTTATGTGAACACTTCTCTCAACATGCCACTCTACTCACTTGCGAGTCTGGAACACACTGCTAGGAACTTGCACAGGAACCTTTTCATAATGGCACACAAAACACGTGGACCGCATCTGTGTGAACCACCTCAATAGGAACTCATAATATCTAGCCTCTTTAGCTGGCTCCAAGACTCAAAGCAAATGTGTCAAGCCCTGTTGCCTTCCAGCTATTTCTGTAAAGCAAACCATTAAAGATTTTTTTTTTTTTTGAGGGGACACTTTTTTTTTTTTTTACACAAACTGTCATGTGTCAGTGTCCCTAATCACCGCCACACCAGTCAAACTGTGCCCTTGATCACTGCCACACCAGTCAAACCTTGCCCCTGATCACTGACACACCAGTTCCAGTGCCCCTGATCAACTCCATACTAGCTTCAGTGCCCCTGATCACCACACTAGTCTCAGTGCCTCTGATCACATCCACTTCAGTCCCAGTGTACCTGATCACCCCTATACTAGCCACAGTGTTCCTGATCACTACCACAGCAGTCATTGTGTCACCAGGACTTCACATGTGTGAAGCTCTTTCAAGAGCCAACTGTGTTTGGAACACTCTTCAGAAAGCATTTGAGAGGCAGTGAAAAAAACAAACCACCAACAGCAGGGGGAGCCAACTAAGCATAGTATGTTTAGTATTTCTTTATTAAAAATACTAACTAACATGTAGAGCAAAAAAGATTTAAAAAAGGAACATTTCATGTGGCTTATAATCCCTCTGTGCTGTGGCACTCTGTGGTAAGAAAGGGGACGCTGACAAGCCAATCCAGGAATTTTTGGAACCACGCTGGAATGCATACAGGACCTGGGAGGGCCAACCAGAAGGGGAATGGCTAGATATTTCAGAGCATTCTAGCCCTTTCCTCAAGCTAATGGGTCACAATTGGAAGGCATACAGGGGGTATAATCCCTTCAACAGGTGAGAAGCAAACCATTGCAGCCATGTCAGGTGTACACCCAAGTCACTGCCTTTGCAGCTAAAGTGAGGTAGCAGATGAGGGGTGGTACATTTTGTGTAATCAAAATACATTTTCATTTTCTTTCCTGCATTTTCCAAAAAAACTTGTGCCAAAAAAATGACTTTAAAAAAAAAATCTTGCATCTTGGAAAATACCTGTGTTTGCTTTTCAAAATGGGGTCATTTTATGGGTGTTTTCACTATCCTGGTGCTCCAGGGCATCCAAAAATAGGTAGGCAGGAAATTAGATGTACAGTTTACATATAACTTATACTCCTTGAAATCCCAAAGGTGCTCCTTGGATTTTGGGTCCCTGACTCTTATTAAATACTGGGGACTGTCTACTTTACAAAAAGAAGGAGTATCTTGGGGGGCGGGGGGCGGGGGCTGGGTACTTGTATTGTCCTGGCATTTTAGGGCCTCAAGAAATAGGAGAGACTATCAGTACATCAGGAGTAATTGGTTTTCAAAATAAATAAATAAATATATCACACACACACACATCACACATACACAGTGCCTTGAAAAAGTATTTATACCCCTTGAAATTTTCCACATTTTGGCATGTTAAAACAAAAAACGTAAATGTATTTTATTGGGATTTTATGTGATAGATCAACACAAAGTGGTACATAATTATTAAGTGGTAGGAAAATCATAAATGCTTTTCAACATTTTTGACAATTGAATATGTGAAAAGTGTGGCGTGCATTTGTATTCAGCCCCCCTGAGTCAATACCTTGCATTACCACCTTTCGCTGCAATTACAGCTGTAAGTTTTATTGGGTATGTCTCTTACCAGCTTTGCACATCTAGAGAGTGAAATGTTTGCATGTTCCTTTTTGCAAAATAGCTCAAGTTCTGTCAGATTGGATAGACAGCGTCTGTGAACAGCAATTTTCAAGTCTTGCCGCAGATTCTCAGTTGGATTTAGGTCTGGACTTTCACTGGGCCATTCTAACACCTGAATATGCTTTGATTTAAACCATTCCATTGTAGCTCTGGCTGTATGTTTAGGGTCGTTGTCCTGCTGGAAGGGGAACCTCTGCCCCAGTCTCAAGTCTTTTGCAGACTAACAGCTTTTCTTCTAAGATTGCCCTGTATTTGGCTCCATCTCCCCATCAACTCTGACCAGCTTCCCTGTCCCTGCTGAAGAAAAGCATCCCCACAACATGATACTGCCCCCACGTTTCACGGAGGGGATGGTGTTCAGGGTGATGTGCAGTGTTAGATTTCTGCCAAAGTTCAATTTTGGTCTCATCTAAGCAGAGCATCTTCTTCCACATGTTTGCTATGTCCCCCACATGGCTTCTCGCAAACTGCAAATGGGACTTCTTATGGCATTCTTTCAACAATGGCTTTCTTCTTGCCTTTCTTCCATAAAGGCCAGATTTGTGGAGTGAATGAATAATAGTTGTACTGTGGACAGATTCTTCCACCTGAGCTGTAGATCTCTGCAGCTCCTCCAGAGTTACCATGGGCCTCTTGGCTGCTTCTCTGATTAATGCTCTCCTTGCCAGGCCATGTCTTGGTAGGTTTGCAGTTGTGCTATATTCTTTCCATTTTCGAATGATGGATTGAACAGTGCTTTGTGAGATGTTCAAAGCTTGGGATATTCTTTTATAACCTAACCCTGCTTTAAACTTCTCCACAACTTTATCTCTGACCTGTCTGGTGTTCCTTGGCCTTCATGATGCCGTTTGTTCACTACTGTTCTCTAACAAACTTCTGAGGGCTTCACAGAACAACCGTAATTATACTGAGATTAAATTACACACAGGTGGACTCTATATACTAATTAGGTGACGCCTAAAAACAATTGGTTCCACTAGATTTTAGTTAGGGGTATCAGAGTAAAGGGGGCTAATTATAAATGCACGCCACACTTTTCAGATATTTATTTGTAAAAAATGTTGAAAACACAGCTCAGCATAAATGAGTACACCCCAACAAATTTGTCAGAAAACCTTCACTTTCCTCTCAGAATCAACATTTTCTATGGGACACAAGATTAGTTAATTTGTACACACAAAAAGTATTTTTCCTAACAAATTCCTTCAAGACTATGCTGCAAAAATGAATACACCCCAATGAAAGGCAAAGCTACATTTTAGACAACAAAGTCCTAATTAACAAGAATTCAACTACAGGTGAGTCTAATTAGTCATTAAACAGGTGTCCAGCAGACAGTTGATTATAAAAGGGCGTTACTTAAAGAAAACCCCTTCCCATTTCATGCTGTCACCACATGGAGGAAAATGTCACAAGGCCTGAGAAAGAAAATAATTTCTTTGCACGGGAAAGGTGAAGGCTAGCAGAAGATCAGCAAACCTTTACTTATCAGTCAGAATATTGTAGCAAAAGTAACACAAAAATTTTACAAAGATGGAACTGCAACTATCTCACAGAGATGTTCAATCCATTTACGGAAGTTAATACCTCGACAGGGGCATCTTCTGATGAGACGGGATGAAGAAAATTGACATGCAAGTTCACTGCGGTTAGCTAAAGCAGTACAAAGCCAAACTGGGGTGATTGTTTCCTGTGACACTAAATGGTGTACACTGTAGAGGAACGGCATGCATGGGTGTCGTCCAAGAAGGAAAAATCTCCTAAAATCCATGCACAAAAAAGCCTGCCTAGAATTTGCCCAGGCATATGTTGAAATACAAAAAAGCCTGCCTAGAATTTGCCCAGGCATATGTTGAAATAGAAGGAGACTACTGGGATTTTGTATTCTGGAGTGATGAGACAAAGAAATGTTTTTTGAACTGATGGCTTCAAAACTGTATGGTGTCACAAAGGTAAGAAGACAAAGAAAAATGCATGGAGCCTACAGTGAAACATGGTGGTGGCAGTGTCCTTCTGTGGGGCTGCTGGCATCAGTGAGCTGCATTTCAATGATGGTTTCATGAATTCACAGATGTACTGCTCTATCTTGAAAGACAAGATGCTACCATCACTCCATGCCCTTGGTCTTCTTACACTTTTCCAACATGTCAATGATCCAAAACACACATCTAAGGCCACTGATGCATTTTTGAAGAAGAAAAGGGTGAACGTTATTCAGTGGCCAAGTATGTCTCCTGATCTGAACCCAATCTATGGGGGAATTCTGAAGAGACAAGTTGAGCATCACTCTCCATCCAGCATCCAGGCTGTAAAAGAGGTAATTATTGAAGCACGGAAAAAAAATAGATTTTCTAATATGTTGCCAACTTTGCATTCCATGCCTAGAAGATTTGGTGCTGTCCTTACAAATCATGGAGGTCATACAAAATACTAGATGTTGTAGTTTTTGTTGTGAGGTGTATTAATTTTTGCATCAACTAATTTGAGTAAAACTGAAGATTTTGTAATCTGTTATATTAACCTTTCATGTAATGAGCTAAACAAATCTTCTATAACACTCACTTTTGTCAACATTTTTATAATTGTTTTTGTGTTCATTAAGATATTGATTAAAATTTTACTTTTCCAAAGGGGTGATACTCATTTACGATGAGCACTGTATATACCCACCATCGTTTGTAGACTCTAATATTCACACAGAGTAAATAATATACACTGATTTGGGTTATATTTTTACCAAAGAAATGTAGCAGACTATATTTTGCCCTAAATTTATGAAGAATTATTTTATGCAAAATTTGATAAAACTAGATAGACGTGTTTTATTTCAAAAATTGATAGATTTTGTTTTTATAGCATCAAATAAAAAAGACAATGGTGATAAAATACCACCAAAAACAAGCTCTGCCTAAAAAAACAAACAAAAAAAAAAAAATATAACATTTTATTTAGGTACATGACTTTTGAGTTGCATGACTGAGTAGTTGTCAAACTAGGACAGTGCTGAAAATAGCCTGGGCAGTAAGGGGGTGAAAGCACCAAGTATTGAGGTGGTTAAAAGTCTTTACAGGTTACCAGTTTAGTCACAAAGGAGGTTTGTTGCTAAAATTATTGCTCTCACTCTGATGTTCATGCTAATACCTCACGGGTGTGGTGTGATCACCGTTTACATGTGTGTGCAGAACGTACGTGCGCGTTCGTAATTCCACATGAGCACGGAGTGCTTTCATTTTCTTTTTATTATTTATTTTACGTTACATCTTTAACACCATTTCACCTAGACTCCAGAACTCTCCTCTGACCTCTAAAGCATCTGATCAAACCAAGATTGGTTTGATCAGATGATTTCACAAGCAGGTAATGGCTTATTTACACGATACTAAAATCAGTGACAAAATCCTCATTGTTTCTGATGTTACACAGTGAGAGGAGCAACATCAGTGTGTGTTTCAGGAAGTGGATGCTGACAGTTGCCAAGAGAGCCCGGTAAAGGCAGTATTGGGAGGAGAGGGCCCCCTTTCGCCAGCTGTAAAAAAAATCTAGCCACTTTATAGGCTGTAGGGAATTGCCAATTGAAAAAGAAAACTTTAACCGAGATCATGATTGTAGCCTCCACCATGATCCCGCTACAATCACTTCAAGCTTAGGGAATTTATAAATGGCTTAAGGATGGGAAGTGGTTAATACTGACTTTCAAGTAATGAAAAATGTTGTAATAAAACATAATGCTAAATATGCTCTGCTGTAAATTCGAATTGTGCTTACCTTCTTCATCCCTAACTAGCTGCTTAAGTAAGGTATCCAGAGCGTGCTTGTATTCCTCCAAGATCCAGTAAGCCATGCTCCTCACAAAAGGGTCTGAATGCATGTTGGAGAGACTGGGCTCTCGGGCATGTGAATCTATTCCCAGAACTCTCTTTTGAAGAATAGATTTATATGTTGAAGATTTTTCAAATTCAGTCTCATACAGCCTTGATATCACCAGTGCAAGCTGAATGTCATGTAGCTTTTCAAGGCAAACCTGCAAAATAATTATTTATAACATAAAACAAACATAAAATAAACACCATTACTTCCTTTATTTTCTATTCCTTTCGGCTTCTCCTCTCTCTAAACTTTGACTTGCCTGTATCCATCTCTGGACTGGAATGGCCCAATAATATAGAACTTTCACAAGACAACAAGCTCACACATGGAGAAACAGCAGCCCACTGAACTTCAGTGAATGGTTGTGCAGGGGTGGAATGTGAGCAGAAGTTTGACCACTGGAGGAGAGCAGGAGTTTCAGCACTCGTGCCTAGTGTGGTCAATTTTAACAGGAAAGCAAAGGGACTTTCAGGAACACCAGGTATTTCACACAAAGGAAGCAATACAAAGAGAAAAGGATACTTTTTCATACAAGTACATTGTACAGCAGGGACATATCAAGAATTTGAAATGTTGGATTTACATATTCTTTAAGTACTCATTAAACACAGTACTGCTCATAATATCCCCAAAGCCTTTGTTGAAATATCAGATATCCTAATGTACTCCAAGGGCATAAAGAACTGGCTGTCATAAACACATATAGGTCATTTTACTATGAAACTTTTGTACCTGGTGTGGCATTGAATCCACATTATCTCTAACTGGTAAATTGTATGCATCACGTGTGTGCCTTACAAAAAAGGTAGAACTTTGGTTCTTATAAATCAGAGTAATACATACTAATTTTCAGTCTAACACACCTTCGACATATAAAGTTATGGCTGAAAATATATAGCCTACTCATACCTCCACTGCATCCTTCAGAGATCCAGCCAGAAGGAAAAATGCTGCGGAATGCTCAAAACGCTGTTTCCCAAGCAGAGAGAAAGCATTCTTCAGAGCTGCTGTCCTCCATCTTTCTTCATTAAAATTATTCCCAAAAAACTGAGTCATCTTTGCATCTTTTTGAGATCTTTAACAAAAATCAACACAGAACAAAGGGCGTTAAACAGAAAATCCAGTGTAAATAAAGTTCCTAATGCGTCTTGAATTTAAAAAAGTATTTCAAGAGAAGAAACCATAACCTGTTTCCTGAGGGAAAATTACAGAATAAATATCTCCAATAAGATGTAAAGCTATGGTCAAATGTTGGATTAAAGCGCAAGTGAAAGACTTAAATGAAAATGCGGAGTCATGGTTCCCAGGGACTTTCAGCTTCACCGGGTCTTCTTTCCAGGTTCGCGGGTTGCAGACGCTTTGCATGTGCCCAGGAGTCTCGGCAGCGGCATGGCCCACAATGGACGGCACACAGTCTACTGACAGCGTAGTGCGCATGCGCCAGTGACATCACCGGCACTGCTAAAAGTAAATATCTCCTAAACGGTGCATGTTCAGGAGCTATTTACAGTACCTACAGGTAAGCCTTATTACCTGTAGGTAAAAACATTAAAAAAAAAGAGACTTTACTACCACTTTAAAGCATAGATTCTTTCAAAGCTTTGGTGTATAAAGCAGGGCAACAACCACCCCACTATATCTATAGCTCTCCTATATCTGTTTAACCCATACTGGCGTATATATGTTATAAATACGAATATTATAATACAGGATTTACATAGCACCAATAGTTTACGCAGCACTTTAAAATATAAAAGGTACACAGTACAGTTACAATACAACAAAACAAAGGTTAAGAGGGACCTACTCATAAGAGCTTAAAATCTAATTGGGTGAGGCAAGTGTTAAAAAAAAAAAAAAAAAAAAAAAAAAAAAAGAAAGAAAAAAAGGTAAATATTGAGGGATGAGCAGTTGTTAGGTGGAGGTGGGATAGGCATCCCTGAAGAGGCGAGTTGTCAGGGATCGCCTAAAGGTGGCCAGAGTGGCAGATAGCCAGTTAGATTGAGGTACAGAGTTCCAGAGGATAGGAGAGGCTTTGCAGAAGTCCTGGAGATGGGCATGGGAGGAGGAGATAAGAGAGCCAGAGAGTGGTGGACGTGGTGTTGCAGTTTCCCCTTTGACTTCAATATTTTTTGGATATGTTAACGCTAGGCACGCGTTTAGCACGTGATCATTATTTCATTTCAATGGCCAGAATAAATTATTCTGGCCAATGAATTTAACACCTAAGCGCTTGATGTGCCTAAACACATTGCATGCATTTAAAAGCTTCAAGCATTGTTTTCTGCCAAAACAACTCCACTCGGAGGAACAGCAGCTAACAAAGTTAGTGTGCACAAGGCTTAAGTGTGCTTACTCAAAACTATGCTGAACACAAATTACAGTCACATATTCTTTTGATCTTGAAAAGCACCTGCTATAGTAACATTTATTCTGGATAATGCACAGAAAACGAGAAGATGGTTTGGCAGTTGTATTTGCAATTCTATTTGGTTTCAAAATCAAATGAGTATGTGAAAGCAATTTGTTAGTAATTTAAATTAACTTCATTACTCAAGCATCTCTAGGATCTTCTTTATTACATACAAGCATCCTCTGCATTAGATTAGAGTTTTTCTCAAATCGGGCTCTTGAAAGTATCTATTTGCCTTGTTTGCCACAAGGTTTTTTTTCGTACGACAAATGCGCTTCGATCACACATTGTGTGATTCAGTTTGTGTGAACGCCAACGTGTTTATCATTTGAAAAAACGCATGGCAATCATGTGAAAATTATCCTGCATTTTCAGGTGCCATTAAAATGAATGGCACCTGAACATGCCGATGAGCGATTTCACATTATAACAGCACGTTTTGAAATCATGGGCAAAATCGTGACTATTCCATTCGCAATTCAAAGCACTAATACATCAGCAAAGTCTAAACTGAACCTAGTCTGACTTTAGCATAGTGCCTGTAATACCTAAAATAGTGTTAGTACTGTAGTTTCTGTTAAGGTTTATTTCCTCTTAAATAGATATTTTCAATTTCATTTAATGCATTTCTTCCCTGTCAAATATTTGTGTAATTTATTATTTAGTCAAATAAAGATATTATATAGTGGTTTTTATTTATTGAGTGCCTTTTGAAAACTAGGGGTAAGGTAGAGCCCAAATCCATTTTTTGTCAGTTTGGAGACAATTTCACATTTTAATCATTTTTCAAAACTGTGATATGTGAAGGAGGCTTAAATTGTTTAAGATTCTGCAGCCAGATCTTCCAAGCTCCTGGGGAAGACTTAAATAAATTGTTCTATGTAAGCTTCTTCTCATACCCAAAAGTGCACAGGAAACTTTAAAGCAGTGGTTCTCAACCTGTGGGTCGCAACCCCTTTGGGGGGTCGAACGACCCTTTCACAGGGGTCCCCTAAGACCATCAGAAAACACATATTTCCGATGTGTAAAGAGCAGCTACTGTGTAGAAAGCAGCTGCTGTGTTGAAAGCAGCTACTCTGTTAAAAGCAGCTACTGTGTTGAAAGCAGCAGTATTGGAGGTAAAACGACACTCATGAATTATAATTACTGGGTAAATAATTTTATGGTTGGGTGTCACCACAACATGAGGAACTGTATTAAAGGGTCACGGCATTAGGAAGGTTGAGAACCACTGCTTTAAAGGGTGGTGCAAGAAACAAAGGAGACACTATTTTGTGTTTCACAGAACTGAATGCCATTCAAAAAATTACACTGCCTTTCTTTCACAGCTCCAACGCAGACCTGGAAGTGACAAATTACAACTCTTCTTTAGGTTCAAAATTATCATGCTTGACTGGAATGTAACATTTGTTTTTCCAGTAAGTATTAAAAGTAAACAATTAGTAAAAGTACAAAAATAAATCTGATGAAGCTAATGTCCAGTATTATTCTACTGAAAAGGGGGCATCATAAAACATGGCACAACAATATCAAATAAAACACTCAGCGATTAGTGGAATGAAAACATATCTTCAAGATGCTGAAAAACTAGTACTACTTTCAAAAAAATAAATAAATAAAAAGGCATGCATTTCTCACCTATACAGTCCCCATATTACAGCTTTCTTCTTCATTGCCAGGTAAAAAATTGCTGCATCTAAGGGATCATTATGACGTTGAAAAGCTGCCTTTGCAACCTGGAATGGCAACAATCACACAATAAGGTTTCCCCATTCGGTACTTTCATCACAATTTCATGGCACTACATAGACCTAGGAGTGACATTGACTGGCTTTAAACGGCATACTAAAAGTGATGTGTGTCCTATAAACACAGCAAAGCGGACATTCTTTAGCACAGCTGTGAACATTTGTGATTCTCATTATTGCATATTTTATGTAGCCCAACTTTCACAGCGGAAGTTAAAAGCAAACCTATCAATGCTAAAAGCACAGAGCTGTAGGAAGTTTGAAGCATCACTCTGAGCAAAACCCTTTTAAAGGATATGTTCACCTTTTGACCAAGAGTAACAAATGCACATTTTTTTGCAAGGAAAAAATGTGCATTTATAATTTTTGGTTGCAGGAGCCTGTAAAGCATTAAACCAGCAATCAGCAGATTGCTGGTGCCATGCAGGTCTCCTGCAGACCTGCCAGTATATCTGTCCTGTACAAAAAAGCAGATATACTGAGAAAAAGATTCAATGAACTACTACGGTGCTCTACAGCAGTAAACAGCAGCTGCAGCATTGGGAACATGTTACATGTTCCACAAAAAGGTGAACTTATACTTTAATTTTATAAGGAATTTGTGCCATATAAGATGACAATGAACATTCAGGTATACTAGAAGCTTACCATTTTCTCCACTGGAAATGCGAGTAAATATAAAGGAAAAAAGAGCATTTTCCGTTCTAACATTATGCTACAAAGAACCTAGTATATTTGTGCCTATTTGCATCAAAATATTTTACAAGATGAAGCCAATTTTCAACTTTGCACAGTATGAATACTCAAAGAACCTGTGATACCAGGAACGAGAGGCTTTCAGGCAAACAGGACTTTAAACACCCATCAGTACCAATAGAAAAATGGCATGTTGTGATACATTTATATTTTAAACTCAAAGTCTGAATATAAAGCAATTGAGGGACACCATATAATAGAAACTTTAAAACGCTTTACATTTTTACAACCCCAATTCCAACCATCCAACATTTGGATGCTGTGTAAAATCCACATAAAAACAGAATGCAATGATCTGCAAATCTCATAAACCCATATTTTATTCACAATAGAAAACATACCAAATGTTTAAACTGAGAAAATGTACCACTGTAAGGAAAAAATAAAGGTACCTCTGGAACTGATGGCAGCAACACGTTTTAAAAAGTTAGAACAGGGCAACAAAAAGCTGGCAAATAAGTGGCACTAACATGGAAGAGCTGGAAGAACATTTTCAACTAATTAAGTTAAATTTTCAATAGGTCAGTAATATGACTGGGTATAAAAAAAAAAAAAAAAGCATCTCAGCGAGTTATGAGTGTCTCAAATGTAAAGATGGGCAATCTGTGAAAATCCACGTCTAAAAATTGTTGAACAATTTCAGAATAATGCTCTTCAATGTAAAATTGCAAAGACTTTAAATATATCATCATCTACAGAACATATCATCATCAAAAGATTCAGAGAATCTGGAGAAATCTCTGTGTACAAGGGACAAGGCCGAAACGCAGTACCGGATGCACGTGACCTGAGACAGCACTGCAATAAAAACAAGCATGATTCTGTCATGAACATCACTGCAAGAGCTCAGAAATACTTCACAAAATCCCCATCTGTGAATACAGTTTGCCATGCCATTCAGAAATGCAAGTTTCTAGCATACAAAGAAGCCATATCTAAACATGATCCAGATACGCCACCATTTTCTCTGGTCCAAAGCACATTTAAAACGGCTTGTTGTAAAGTGGAAAACTGTTCTGTGGTCAAACAAATCAAAATTTGACATTTTTGGCAACCATGGGCATGGTGTCCTCTGGACTAAAGAGGTGAGGGACCTTCTGGTTTGTTATCAGTGCTCAGTTCAAAGGCCTGCTCCTCTGATGGTATGGGGATACATTCGTACACATGGATTGGGCAGCTTGCACTTCTGGAAAGGCACCATCAATGCTGAAAAATATATTCAGGTTTTAGAGCAGCATATGCTCCTACCCACCAGATGCCTTTTTCAGGGAAGGTCTAGCATATTTGAGAAGGGCAATGCTAAATTGCATACTGCATCTATGACAACAGCATGGCTTCGCAGTAGATGAGTCCAAGGCAATTAACTGGCCTGCTTCGTCCAGAACTTTCACCAACTGAAAATACTTTATGCATCTTAAAAATAAAAAAATTATGACAAAGAAGACCCAAGACTGCGGAGCAGTTGGAATCCTTTCAGGCACCAATGGGACAACATTCTTCTACCAAAACGTCTGCAACTGGTCTCCTCAGTTCCCAGACACTTACAGGTACAGATGGTACACTGTGGTAAACATGGCTCTGTCCTATCTTTTATAAGATGTGTTTCTGCCAAAATTTTCAATATTACCTTTTTTTTCTTCTTAAAACAGTACATTTTCTCAGTTTAAACATTGTATATGTTCTCTATTTTCTACTGTGAATAGAACACGGGTTTATGAGATTTGCAATTGCATTCTGTTTTTATGTAGATTTTACACAGTGTCCCAACTTTTTGGAATTGGGGTTATATACATAACATATCTTGAAGTGAACCATGGGTTCTTCAGCTTGTTTTGCTTTACTATATACTTCACTTGCAGTAACATTTCCCACATTGCCATCTCATATTGAATGCTATACTAATATTGCAAACTACAGCATGGGTCTGATAAGGAATACTATTAAAAAAAAAACAAACAGAAATAAACGCTTTAAAATGTGCCTCTGATAAAGATTGCTCAAACTCTACTTGGTAATAAACGTCTAGGCCACCAATGACAATGGCAACTTACTCACCTTCTCAATACACTTGCGCAAGTTGTTTGTATTTCTCACCCACCAGCCCACTCCCATCGCCCTCAACTCTGGCCAGGTGGGGTCTCCTTTCTGCATAGGAGGCAGTGTGGAAAGCAGCTCTTCCTCTGCCACAGAATGGAAGGCCCAAGCAAAATGGCTAGTAGACAGGCCTTTAAAGAACAGAGCAGATGGTTGGAAAACAACTCCAATTACTTAGTAAAAGGAAATATGTTGATGTCATTCACATGCAGGAAGTCAACCCTTATCATTGATGTACAAGTGTCATATCTGACAGTTACATATTTGCAAGTTTGTTTCAAGATGGAACTCAACTACTCCTGAATATGACGTACATCACAATATAAGGATAATTTCACAGATGATTCCATATTTGTTCAAATTATAAGCAAGCATTATAAGTAATAATGTACTCCTACTCCAGAACAAAAGAAAAAAAAATTAGGAGGTCATCACAGAGTTCTCTGACCACAAAAAAGAAATAGAAGTATGAAACAATACATAATTTCTATAATGCTTGAACACACTACATATAGGTACACATGTATAGGATCTTTTATCCAGAACCCTATTATCCATGAAAACACTTGTCTCAAACCATACTATCCAGAAATGACATCAGATTCAGTCACAATGCTTTTACTTTGCCAACTATGTCCTTGTCAGGGCGAGTGACAGGTCCTCTTACCATGCCACCATTCCTTCCTCACTGATAATCCCCTTTACTTCACTCATGCACAGCAGTACTTTCAGGTATGGAGGAGTGTGTATCCCTTACTCTCAGGATGCAGTGCTTAGGCTGCAAATTGCCAAGTCACTAAAATGTAACTAAAGGAAAATATTTGTATTTTAAGTTTTGAATAGAGTGAAGGAATAGAAGCCTTGTTAGGTTATTATTATTAGAACGCTAATAAAGGGAAAATTTTCCAATGGGGACATAAGCTCTGGTGACACACCGGGATTCTCTCACTTTAGAGATTTCCTCGCACTTCCTAATTTGGTTATGGGAAAGAAGTGAAGGGAAATTTCCCCAAGGGAACAGAGAGAAAAATTGGAGGGGGTCAACTCATAAACCCCCCCCCCCCCCCCTACGCTATCCAAAATGAAAAAAAAAAAATGTTGCCTTTAGTTACACTTTAACTTTATAAGCTCTAACGCAGACTGAGACCTTACACAGGAATAAGACAAAGGGTAGCAACAGATGAACACAGTGGCACTGAAGCACTGTGAAAGTATCAGAAAGTGGGTGGTGAGGAAGGTGACCTGTCAATAGAACCTGACACTTTTCTTCAGGACACTGTACAGAGCACTGTTACACAATTACAATAATGAAACAAAATTTGGAGAAATATTTAATACATGGTGCAGGATACAAGATCCCATGATTGTGTACACACACACACTGCATACTTCAAACACATAGAAGTATAAAAAGGTTTTGCAGAATTCAGGAGCCTGCCAGATACATCAAGCAAACTACAATAACTAAGAACTAGGCAACTTGAGCATCCATTTTCATCAATGGAAGTTAACAAAGGTATTGTGCCTCGGCAATCTGTTAGGCGTATCAGCTGCCTGATTTCTGAAAATGTTCTATATAATATATACAGAATATATACAGACTAATGGGTTTATTCAATAAAAAAGCACAAAGCATTGAAACCAAGTGCAAAGTACAGTAGCAACAACCACATATAACTTTATGAAAGGAATTCTGATTGGCTGCTATGGCTTACTACATTTTGGTATAATGAATAAGCCTGTATATATATTTGAGTAAAACAACACAACTATTTAAACAGTTGTGTTATGGCAAAGGAAGATAAATCTTATTTTCAAGGCATTACTGTAACGAAAGCCTAAAAATAAAAAGCTAATAAATACAACACAAACATAGCACAATGGTTATTCCATGTGTACACCGAAATTAACTTGCCAGCAAATAGTTTTCCAACTTGATCAGCATGAACAAATTGACAGTTACCATAAGAAATTGAAAAGTTAGTGTTAAAAGTTCATTCATAATAAATAAAAAATCCAGTTTTAATGTGGATGAAAACAGGTGTGTGTGTGTGTGTGTGTATACACACACACATACATGCATACATACACACACACACATACATATACACCAGCTCTTTGACTATTATACTTTTGTGGAAGATGCCTAATATACCTTTTGCGATTATATTGTATAATATACAATCCTGCTATGATAGGTGCACCCAGCTAAAATCTACTAACTGCTTCAGGGCTGCTTGCAGCGTGGCCACTGATGGTGCAGACATCTGCAGCCTAGAATCCTGTTGCTCCTAAAGTCTAATCTGTCATCAGAGTTCTCATTAGCCCTGTCCAGTGTGGCAGCTTCCTCTGCCAGAATAGTGCAACAAGACCACCAGGATACATTTAATTTCGATCCTGCAAAGTAGCCAAAGAAAAATCCATAACAGATAAAAGACTCAATCAGCTGGAAATGATCCAGCGGGGTTGCCAGCACATCCACATTGCTGTTGAAACAAAATGGCACAAGGAATCCGCCAAAGTATGGAGTAGAAGAGGAGATCCTGGATTAGGATCAGTCCAGAGTTTCATGCCATGCACTTGTCCCAGACTGCTGGTACAGCCTTAGAGCGCAAAAGAAGGTGTTAGGAATACACACTAGATTAAATTTTTTTTTTTTAAACCAAAATTTAGCATCACTTTAAAGGAAGCCCGTGTTCTGTACTCTACGACTAAGAAAAGGTACTTCAGAGCAAAGTTTCCAGAATTATTTAATGCATCATGCCTTGGATTGGAGTCAACCTTATTAATGTGTTTCTATAGGGTAAGACTTCACAAATGCTTTAAGCAATACAGCTAGGTCACCAACTTGCCCATCTTGTGACTGAATGATGAAGGAGAAGCAGCACACTTATCAGGTCATGTCTGTGCTTTCCTTCCTGTAAAAATGTTCAGACTGCTTACGGACAATACTGTGCAACAAACAGAGCCCAGGTTTTCTGAGTGCTGCCTTTTCTTTCCCAGTGTGCAAAAGAGCTTCTGCAGAGGGGGTTATAAGAGACAAACATCAGGACATATTGGGAAATGCAACAAGTTCACTTCAATGCCAGCCCTTTAGCTGCTTATAATTGCTTTCCTTTTACTGCTATTAGTCCATTCTATTATTAGAGAGAAGCAGTCCTGTGTACAGCCCATTTCACAATTTCCAAGCTTACACACAGGACTGAGGAATCTCTGGCTGCCCCATGTGACAGTGCTCTGCGTCTAAGCAGCCAACTACCATGCACCACTGCTGTCACATGGAAAGGGAGTCGTCTTTTTTTTTTTTTTTTTTTTAGCTCCCAGTAGCTTAAGGAAATGGTAAGAGCAAAAAGGAACAAAGGTTGATGCTATTGTTGGGACCACCATTAAAGTTAACCAGTTGCCTATCTCTGCTTGGACAAACTAAGTATTTTTGCTTTAAGCAGGGATGCTGATCACATATTCTAAAACACCAATGTTTAGTTGATGGCTACATAAAAATAAGTGTTGATATTACTATTGCATCAAAACTTTCCTAGCAGTTTATTTAAGCAAGGGCTAACGGCTTACTCACCAATAAGGCATCAAAAGCCACTGCATTTTTTGGACATAAACAAAAAGTCAACAGACTAAATGGCACAGGGCACACACAAAGGAAATTTACTCTGAAATTATTAAGAGGCGAGCATCCTAGAGCATATAGGTTACTTAATCTAGTCTGATTGAAAATTGCAGAGGGAGCTTTATACGAAACACCTTAGAGCTTACTTTTCAACACTGACTGGAATATACTGACAAACCCCTCATTTTCTTTTCTCCAGTGGTAATGCATCAGCCTTTCTTCGTCAGTCAGACTAAGTGCTGCTAAATCAAAGACCATAAGCAAGGAGTCATTTAAATCACCCTCAAACTATAGAGCTTAGTTACCTTGATGCGAGAGCTGAATTCGGTATGCTGGTGGAAGGGATGTAGTGAGAAACGTATGAAGCCGAACAGCTAGGAAAAACTTCAGTCCACATTCATCAAGAGTCTCACCACCTATTAAGAAAACCCCGCTTGAATTGTGTAAAACAGCAAGATCAACTTACAACAATTTTATCAAGTATTAACCCAAAAAAAAAAAAAAAAAAGGTAAAAAAGTATTTTTAACTTACCAATAAAGTTTTTCCTGGAGTACTGAAGCAAAGTATAAGACGGTCTTCTTTTCTTTATATTATTAAAACTGGGTTAGACTATGTGCAGCTACCTTCAGATGATTGGACACAGGACAAAAAAAAAAAAAAAAACCAAAACTACAAAGTCATTCCCCTACTATATAACCCCCTCCCACTCCCATCTAACCTAAGTTTTGTAACAAGCAATAGGGAGAACACAAGAACCAGAGGGAGGGTTCTGTGTCCTGCTGTACTACAGTACAGTGGGCAACACAGCAAACAATGTCAACGGGACTTTACAGGTCAAGAATGGATCAACAGATAAAGAGAGAAACTTGTAGCACCTTATTCCAAAAAATAGCATCACAGGAGGCTTGAACATCCACCTGGTACAACTTAAACATGTTAAAAGCCCAGTGGGCAGCATTGAAAATCTGAGGAACAGATGCCTGATGCTGAAAAGCCTATGAAGCACTAACAGATCTGGTATGGTACCTTTATGAGAACCTTCAGGAATCACAAGGAGAGAATTAATTTTCCAAAAGGAGGCAGCAACCAAGAAGTAAACTCACCGCATGCACCATGTCAATGGAGATAAATTTCCTTGGCATGTTTCAAAAACAGGACATATAGAGGGAAGGACGGTATACTGATTAAGGTGGAAGGCATAGATCACCTTTGTAGGAAGAAGGCCTCAAGACAACCTTGTCCTTTTGCAATACAGAGAAAGGCTCCTCAAAGGATAAGGCTGCTAACTCAGACTCTCCTTGCAGACATGATTGTTACAAGAAAGGTAACATCTTTGCTAGGATCAAAGCATGTTTAAAAGACCAAGACCAAGATTTTTTCCAATGCTGTCCCAGACTGAAATGGAGGGAAGACAGAAATCCCATGAAGTACTTACTAGGATAGAAATTCCATGACTCGCAACCAAGAAATATAGGACTTCCATGTGCTAATGCAAACTTTATGAGAAGTGAAGTTCCTAGCCTTTAAAAGGGTAGGGATGTCTAAGTGCACAAGGCCCCTGTCCCAACAACTGTAGCTTCAAAAGCCATGCCTTTAAAAGCCAGCAGCCAAGAAGCAGGATGAAATACTGGCCCTACGAACAGGCGATCTGTACAGTCTTGAAGGGCCAATGAAACCTATATGCTAGGAGCTTGAGTATGCCTGGGTAACCAACCTCCTGGGCCAATTCGGTACGATCTCCTTCTCAAACCTGTGGAGTAGGCAAAAGAGAACAGAAAGATGCAGGTCAAGCAGAACTTATTCCAAAGTGTCCCCAGAGCGTCCACTACGAGGCGTGAGGGTCCTGGGACCTAGAGACATACCTGTTCAGTTTGTTGTTGAATCTAGATCCCAGAAGGTCCGTATCCTGTGACAAAGGACTATAAGGACCTCTGGATGGAGAGCACTTTATTCTGGATCAAGATGACTAAGAAAGTCAGCCTGACAATTTTCCACTATCTGCATAAGTGCTGAATGCTCCAGGCTCCTCCTCTTCTGTTAGTTCCCAACATAGCAAGCTGCTTGCTATGGGGGGCACTCATGCAGGCGCTCTGCCTGCATCAGAGACACAGTGTGGCTCGGCCCTTCCCCCCACTTCCTGGTTACAGGTTTTGACTGACAGCAGCGGGACCTAATGGCTTCAGTTGCCTCATCAAAGACTGACAGCGCGGAGGGAGAAGAGAGTCGCTACAGACAGGCATGGCGATGGTTCTAGTGAGGGGTGGAGTGAGGGGGCGATACTGCTATCAAAACATTTATTTTACCTTAATGCAGGGAATGCATTAAGGTAAAAAATGCATAGACTTTAGAGTCACTTTAACCTAAATGTGATCCAGTTCCTATACAGCTGATCATGTGCACTTGGAAACAAACCAGTTTCACACAGATAATGTATAGTGCATCAATATAGTAACCCCAAATTGACTATGTTGCAATATCAGTGCAAAGTGCCAAAAGGGAAAGTTACATCAAATAGTGCTCTTCAAGTGCTGTAAATCCTCCAACTTTATAAAGTTTGTGTGTTATTCAACACTCCATCAATCAACCTGTTGCTCTCTCAAGGAACATCAGCAGCAAAACAGGATATAAAAAGACTGACAAGGCTCCCATAGCTTAATACTGTTTATTTAAAATCATTAAAAACAAAGTATTGCACTCACTTCTACTCCCGCACCTCACTGGATAGAAGTGTGCATTCCAGAGGGTGGAAGTGATGTCAGAATGGAACACTGTCCAACACTGTTTTTTATATCCTGCTATGCGCCTCTGATGTTCTTGTGAGAAGAACACTAGTATGCCTGTGATACTACATTGATGTAGTGGCCTTTGGTGTATACAAGGGATTAACAAGAGTGTTTTTGACCTACTTACTTGGTCTACGACATCTGCTGAGTGTCCAGGGAGTTGGGGTTGAACATTGTTTGGAGTTACAAGTGTGGCACAAGCAATTGATGGAATCCTGAATGAAACACACACTTTATGGAGATGGAAAAGTTAAAGCACTTGTGTGTCAACATAAGCAATTTGGTTACACTGTATTGATGCAATATACATTATCTGTGTGACACTGGTTTGTTTCAAAGTGCATATAATCAGCTGTATAGAAATTGGATCACATTTAAGTGAAGAACCCTTTTTCCATTAAGTATGCTGTTTTTATGTAAAAACTAGTTATTCATTCTTTATTATTTTAAATGCATATGATCACTCCTAGGAATTGATGCATATTTGAGTTAAAGGTTCATGTCTTTTAGATACAAGGATTATTAGCGGTTCGCTCAGCACTTATGCAGATATTGTTTAATTTAAAGCAGTGCAGTTTTTCTTCTTTCACATATTTATTGATGCTTAAGGGTGAACATTTTTAAACAGCAGCTAGAGGGGAAGTTCTTGTGGTATAGTGTGTGCAGGGGTGCAATTTTATACAATCTGCCAATTTTCCATGCCTGGGGTGTGGAGAGGGTACAAGACAGGATTGTGAAGTTTTGCCCGAGAGAAGATCAGTTCTTATTTCATTAGGGCAGTGAGACTCATGGTGCCACTTTGTGAAATAGATGTAAAACCACAGCCTGGATTTGCCCAACTGTATCCTTACGGGGTGTCCCTGCAATACAATCCAGTGTTAAAAGCACAACCAAATTGCCCCAAGTTTAAAAATGTTATTTGGAAGGCGAGTCTCCTCCGATGACCACGTTCCTTGTACCAAGAAGGTGTTTAGGACTGCTTCCCAGTCCAATAGGCAGGCATTTATCATGAGAACTCTCCACAACTGTGGAGGAAAAGGTTTCCCTTACTCCAGCTCAAGACTAGAAATCCAGCATGTCAGGCCTTGAATTTTAGATACATCGTGGGGCTCAAGGGTTAAATCCGTTTCTTGGCCAGAATGTTTTGCTGCAAAGATCTAGAGTGAACCTGGGCATAAGGACTGTCCCGAAGAAGGCCACTATTAGACCCAAGACCTTCATCCTTGCACAAACTGAGGGCTTCCTCTGTGCTTGGAAGGTCTGAAAGAAAGATCCTGGCACAAAGTCATGTCCAGCACCAGTCTCAGGTACTGAGATCTATAAGATGGGTCCAGGAGATGACTTCAAAAGGTTGAGGATCCTACCAAAGCTCTACAGAACCTGTACCATCTGTTGGATGTTAGCTGACAGAGACAGGGAAAACAGACTTTTTAAACAGGACATTGTCCAGATACTCCACAATGTGGACTCTTTGCCCCAGTTTTTTGGCTCTTCTCCATTGTCAAACACCTTTGTGAAAACCCAGGTGGCTGTGGACAGGGTAAAAAGAAGGTGACAAACTGGTAATGCTGATCACTTACTGCGAAACCCAGATATCACTGAGTAGATGGAAACATGGGAATGTGCAGGTAGGCCTTCACTAACTTTGAGAAATAGAGGGTGCACCCTAGGTTCCCGTATTGCTTGCTTTGGAAGACGAGGAAGTAAGAGAAAAAAACCTCCATGTAAGACGGTACACTTCTGGGATGTAGGGGTATGGCCCTCCAGAATTTATTTAATGAGTTAAGGTCAGTGTCCCACTCACCTTAACTCCTTCCTGCCCAGACTATTGTAAGATGACGGGCAAGCGGGATCAATGTTATCCTGGGATGCCCTTCCAAGATCACGCCTCACACACACCCCATGGGCCGTGCTCTGGCGCAATCTGCTACCTGCTGTGTCCACCAGACACGGCTGATGACAGATCACTACACCAGTCTGGAGCCAGTGTCATGTGATCACTGTGACCAATGACAGCAGGTCACATGACAGTTGTAAGCAATAAATGGCTTCCTTTCATTGCTTACAAGTGTGCTACTAGCTGTGATTGGTCAGTGATCACACGTACAGACAGGGCCAATCACAACTTATCTGTAGAATGGGCAAATCAGCTGTGGCCTATCAAACAAAAACTACTGAAAGAATCAGTTTCGTTCAGTAAAAATGCTTGCTTATATCAATGAAATTTGTTGGCATAAGCAATCATAAGGTGTAAAAAAAAAAAAAAAAATCCTGATCACTTGCCCAGAGTAGTACAGTGTTATTATAGCAACATTGTATTGTTCTGGAATTGAAAAAAAATAAAAAATAAAAAAAGGTTTTAAAAATGCAAAATACATTTTTTATTTTTTTTTCTTTTTACATACGGTCGCTAGTCAGTGCATGTGATCACCATCGCATCAGTTATATTATGATGCTGTACTGCATTGGTGACAGTGTGTAAAAAAAAAAAAAATAGTGAAAATATTTTTTTTCATTTCTTAATTTTCCACAAAATTACAACTTCAAAAAACTCGCCATGCCTCTTACTAAATACCTCAGACTGTCCACTTTATGAAAAGTGCGCATTTGGCGGGTATTTGCACTGCCCTGGTGTTTTTGGGCCTCAAGAAATTAGATTGGCTGTCAATACATCAGAATTTATCGATTTTTATATATATACCATAGTTTGTGAACTGTAACTTTCCTACCAACGAACACCGATTTGGGTTATTTTTATTAAAGAAATGCAATACTTTTGGCCTAAATTTGTGTAGAAATTATATTTTTCACAGAGAACCCAGCATCTGTTACAATCAGCACTGTTTTTTCTGTGCTAAAGATAAATAGCAAAATTACATCCCTACAGACTTTGATCACCAACCTTAAAGTAAACTAATAGTTAGCCCATGCAGGGTTTCAGCCTAATAAAAGCACATGAACCAGGGTTTGCCTTCTGTTTTGGCCAAAACCACTTACAGTGCTTGTTTGTGGAGAGATATTCCATGGTTGCATTAAATGCAACATAGGGGCACAATTGGGATACAATGTGCAGAAAGACAACAAAGATTATGGCTTCCTAAGGCCGTTTTGCCACAATTCTTGTAAAATCAGAAAGATGCAGGATACTACTTATGGTCAACAGGAAATAAACTAGTCAGTGGTGTGAATGCAGCAATCATTATTTGGTCACTATTGAGGAACATAATATGTTTCTTGAAGGAAATTCTGAGCAAAAGCAGTAAATGTTTGTTAACGGTTATACCTTCTGATTTTACACACCTCCACCACACTGCACAGCCAACACTTAACTGTTGCCTGGCTCAGCTTTATAGCTTTGTGGAACACCTCCGTGTATACCATACAGAAGTGATGCTGTCCAACTGGTAGATTGAAGATTAAATAGTGATGATAGCTTCGAATTTGAACCAGGCTGATTAAAGAGAGTTAAACATTTATTTGCAAGAAAGGCAGAAAACAAATGTATTCCAACTGTAGTTATTAGACTGCAATTACACTTTACTAGAACTGATGGCAGCAACACGTCTCCAAAAAGCTGACACAAGGCAACAAAAACCCAGCAAAGTTCATGGTACTAACAAGAGGTGAAAGAACATTTTGCAATTGGGTAATTGGCAAAAGGTCAGTAACAGGACTGGGTATAAAAAAGGACAGCTTAGACAGCCAAAGTGTCTCAAAAGTAAGGATAGGCAGAGATTCACCAATCTGTGAAACGCTGCATCTAAAAATTGTCAATGTCAGAATAATGTTCCTCAGCGTACAATTGCATTTAAATATAATCATCACCTACAGTATAAAATTTCAGCAAAAGAGGATTTGGAGAAATCTCTGTGCGCAAGAGACGAAACACAATATTGGATGCCAGTGATCTTCGGGTTCTCAGACGGCACTGCATTAAACACAGGCATGATTCTGTCATGGACATCACTGCATGGGTTGAGAAATACATCCACAAATCACTGTCTGTGCACACAGTTCACCGTGCCTTCCCAAAATGCACGTTAAAACTCTATTATGGAAAGAAGAAGCCATATCTGAACATGATCCAGAAAAAAGCAGTCATCCTTTATGGTCCAAAGCTCATTAAAAATGGTCTGTTGCAAAATGGAAAACGGTTTTGTGGTCAAACAAATCGAAATTTGACATTCTTTTTAGTAAACATGTGCCCTGCGTCCTCCAGACTAGAGAGAATAGAAACACTCCGGATTGTTAACAGGAATCAGTTCAGAAGCCTGCATTTTTGATGGCATGAGGGTGCATTATTGCATATGGAATGGGCAGCTTTTATTTCTAGAAAGGCACCATCAATGCTTACAGCTGATTCACACATGTGCTGTGCAGACTGAAGCTCAGGTTTCACAGCTAATTGATACAGTATTTGTTTACAGGTTCATGCCAAGTTCAGGACAGGATTAGCTCAGGATCTTATCTTGTTCACACATATGTGGTTTAGAAACAGTTCCCATAGAAGTCAATAGCCTGTAATCCGCACCTGAACCGTACTGCACTGCTTAGAAATCGGACAGGATTCTTTTTAACCCACAGTGAATCTGCACGGGACATATGTGAACAGGCACCATGGGAAACAATGTTATTTCACATCATGCGGATTGGATAAAGTTCAAACCGTCGCCAAATATGTGACCGGGCAGTTAAAGATAAATTCAGGTTTTAGAGCAGCATCTAATCAGGCAAGAATGGGACAACATTCCACTCCCAAAACTCCAGCAACTGGCCTCCTCAGCTCCCAGACTTTACAGAGTGTTGATAAAAAGAAGAGGGGATGCTCTTCTACACCATGATAAGCATGGCCTTGAATTGTACTTTCCAGCTTTGTTGCCCTGTTCCAACTTTTTGAGATGTGTTGCTGCCATCAATTTAAAAAATTACCTTATTTTTTCTAAAATGGTACTTCTCAGTTTAACCTCTTTACGCTGGCCGTATACAAATGGGTGGCCTCCCGGTGTCTGGGCCTAGATGCTGAGAGGCCACGCATTTGCGTGTAATTAAGAAAAACGTATGTGCTGACAGAGCGCCCTGCTCTCCCAGCACACATGTCCAGTACTCACGGAAAAGTCCCGATCTCCTCTTTCGATCGGGACCTTTCCTGATCATGTGACCGCCATGACGGCGAATCATGGTGGTCTCATGACCCTAAAACCCTGCCCCACCTTCTGAAACCCTTAAAGGGCTGGGAGGCGTTAAGGGGTTAACCTAGATTTAAACTAGACTGGAATCTAGAAATAGATTTTACACAGTGTCCCCACTTTGCTGGAATTGGGGATGTATTAGAAGAGGAAGCAAAGCTAAATAAAAATCAAAATGTATGATTATAAACGTATTTACCTTGGCTGCGATCTCTGCTTTCACCTATATCTGTACTAGTTGTGGCAATTGTATCTGCCAAAGCCATCAGAGACATCTGTTCTATGCGGGTCATGCCAGGTAAGCTAGAATGAAGCAAATGCTTAGATAGCACTTTGGAATGTTCAGGACCAAAATAAGTGGGGCTGTACTGTGACAAGTCTATAACTTGTGGTTTTGTGTTTTCATCTTCAGAGTCTAAGGTTGTAAGCTCCTCAGAGCTGATTGTTGGAACTTGGAAAAGCTCATCATAGTTCTCAGCATTTGTACTGCTGTCGTTTTGTTTGTTGGAATTGTTTTGATTGCTGGATTTGTCCACTGTGGAAACGAAAGATGTGTCCTCATCTGCAGCAAGAAGTGCATACAATGGTAGAGGAGGCACAGAATCAATTTCTGTGTAGTCAGCACTTTCTGGTTTGCTGAAAGTTTTGGGGTCTCGAGAAGTACTTCCACTAGCACTTATTGAAAGTGAACGGAGCCTGCGTTCATGGTTGGATTCATTATCGTTAATTGCAACAACCTCCCCTGCAATACATTTAACTAGATGAGATAATATAGCCTTTGCTCTGCGTACTTTTCCAAGATCCATCAATTCCAGTAGCTGCAATGGATGATACTGCGGCAAAGTTGGAAATAACGCATGAGCAGCTTCAAAAAGTCCATAGTCCTCCATCTCCACAGGAAGATCAAATGCAGTTTTCTTGCCCATAAGCTTTTGAGCTAAGCTAGTCATTGACCTTGTCATAGTTTTCTTTGGTGGATTCAGACCAGATGGAACAGAATGACTTTGCTTTACTAAGTTTGTGATGGATGGGGTGCTTCCATTGTAGGAATCTGTGCTTGCAGAGTCTTGCTTAGAAAAAGGCTGCCATTGGGAGTAGACATGCATTTCACAGTCCATTCCAACAACAAGAATCCCATCCCGAACCCAAGACAAAGATACTGGTAAAGGAAGAGAGCCTTCCACAGAAGACACAAGATCTACACATCGAAGCAATACAAACCTCGGCTGAGCTGTGTTTTTGGCAGTATCCCAAAGCTGCAATGCAAAACTCTCTTTACAAGAGGCTTCTTGGGCTTTTCTAGCAACCTGTCCATACATGAGAAGCTTTGTACCAATTCCAATTGTCAACATATGAGAGCCATCCTCCCTGGACATCCAATCCAAATGAACCAAATGTTTTGTACTAGGTTGGAGTTGTTTGTTGGAAGATAAGAGCAAATCCTGTTTATTGTAAGCCACAAGATTATTGTCAATACTAATGCCAGGCTCCAACATCGTGCTTAGTTCATCCAAGTGAATGGTTTGTTCCAAAATCCAACAGGAGCCACCAGTAGATTCACATTCAAAGATGCTAACATGCATCAAAAATTCTTGAGAAGCGTTGCTATGTTTACTTGGTGCTTGTTTAAATGCTACAGCCAGACAGTTTGTATGGGCACAGCTGACTTCTATGGGCCTGCCTGGAACACTCACAGCTGCATTTTGTAGACCATCCTCAATCAACAAAGGCCATTCCTCCCAAATATATGCCACACAATTCGCTATGTCAATGGGAGAAAGGGAAAGCTCCGTTTCCACTCGACACCTCCAAAACCTGACTTTACCATCAGAGCAAGACGTTGCTAGTAGATACGGTGCATTACTCACTGGGTAAAGGGAAGAACTACTCAGATGACCTAAAAAATAAAAAAAAAAAAGACTGATTAAGACAATAAACTACTTTAGGTAGGTAGTGTCTTTAAGTATATCATACATGTTGAACACACAATTCCATTAAGGAGACTTGCTGGATAGGCTAGTCTCTGCAACACCATTAGCAGAGAAAGCAATTCTGCAGTAGTTTAATCACCCTCATTACTATGCTTAATTTTTTTTTTTTTTTTAATTAAAGTAGTATTAAACCCAAAACTGAAATACATTGCAGTTTACCAATCATAAGATGTGGTGGCTGCATTATTTTCCTTTTTAAGGATTTTTACCCTCTGTTTTCACTTGGTGATCTGACCAGAAACACACCTCCTGTGTTAAAGTGCCCTCAACATGGATAAATGAGCACAGGTGCATATTTGGCCAGCAGTATCGTCAGTCTAAGGGGAGGTTAGTGTTTGATGTACTAGGATCTTGGGTGTGGTGGTAGATCACTGACCTAAGGATACTAAAGAGCTGGTCAGGCGTCTCTGGTAAAGCTCAGAGTTTCCACTGAAACAAGAAAAAAAAAAAAGAAAAAAGAGAAGAGAAGATGCAGTGGATATGCAGCTGGCTAAAGTATCAATACCAAAGTGGGGTTGTAAATGGTGTTCATTTGGAAAAGAGGCCAATCACTAGTGGTGTACAACACTGCTCTGTGCTAGGTCCTGTTCTATTTAATCTACAGTGCCTTGAAAAAGTATTCATACCCCTTAAAATGTTCCACATTTTGTCATGTTACAACCAAAAACGTAAATGTATTAGATTGGTATTTTATGTGATAGACCAACACAAAGTGGCATATAATTGTGAAGTGGAAGGAAAATGATAAACTGTTTTCAACAATTTTTTACAAATAAATATCTGAAAAAAAAGTGTGGCGTGCATTTGTATTCAGCCCTTTTGTGTCAATACTTTGTAGAGCCACCTTTCACTGCAATTAAAGCTTCAAGTCTTTTTAGGTATGTCTCTACCAGCTTTGCACATCTAGAGTGACATTTTTGCCCATTCTTCAATGGACACACAGATACACTGACAGGTCAGAGGGAGACCTGCATGGCACCAACAATCTGCTGATCACTGGTGCAATGCTTTAGAGGCTCCCCAAGCAAAAAATAATAAAATGCACATTTTGTTTACCTGCAAACAAAACGCATTTATTACTTTTTGGTAAAAGGTGAACTTATCCTTTAACTTAGTATACACTGTCTGAAAAGCCCTGCTGCAGTTTTGCCAAAATGCCATGTGTTTGACACCCATAGGGTTATACTAAAGATTTTGCTTCCTGAAAGATATTTAGGTGTATCTTATAGATTGTTGGCTGCTAATCATGAAAAATTTCTTCCATTTATTTTGATGCAATTGTTGCAAGGCATATCATTGTCTATGTATGTCATTACAAAATAGGTCAGTTATAGACTTGCTATGGGATGATTGGTGAGAACAGAAATGTCTAGCCAAAGTTGGAACAGCCATGATATGTCCTGCTATATCTGTGGCGATTATATGCTTACATCTCAAAGATACAGCACAACTAGGACTTGTGAAAAAGCATATGAACTGTACTTCGGTTGTAAGGTTAGTTATCAAAACAAGGCCTGGGCTCCCCACATTTGTTGTGTAACTTGTACTGACAATCTTAAAGCTTGGCTCAGAGGAATTCATAAGTCAATGCTGTTACCTGCCCCGATGACATGTTAAGATTAGAAAAATCACACGACAGAGTTATTCTGTCTGACTAATGTCACTGGTTTCTCTGCTATAAATAAGAGATCTGAATACTCCAAGCGGTCTTCAATTTTGAAGTGTGACATATTTGGTCTCTTATTACTCCGTGTATTATCTTTTATATTTTACCAAAAAATAGGTATTATATTGTTTTTGTGCGCACTAAAATTAAAGTGTACAGTTCAAAATTGCGCACGACTATGGAACAGTGACAAACTATGGTACAATAAATTATCCATAGGCGAAGTTTTAAAAGCCTTTACAGGTTATCATTTTAGATTTACAAAGGAGGTCTGGTGCTAGAATTATTTGTCTTGCTCTGACGTGTGTGGTAACACTGCACGTGTGGTCCAACCGCGGTTTATGTATGTGTGCGGAACCAACATGTGCAGAGGGGATGGGGTGCTAGAAAAATGTTTTATTTTATTATTTAATTTTTCACTGTACCCTTACATTTTTATAATCACTTTTATTTCTAGCACAAAGGATGAACAACATTCCTTGTTATAGCATGGGCCATGACAGGTTCTCTTTATGAAGAGATCTGGGGTCTATGAGACCCCAGCTCTCTCCTCTGGCCTCCAAAGTAGCAGACAAAACCAAGATTGCTTTGATCTACTTCTACCCAAGCCACCAATGGCTCGTAAACAAAGGAACCAAAACTGGAAGTGACTAAATCCTCAACACTTCAGGTTTCTGACGTCACACAGGTAGAAGAGCAAGATCAGTTCCTCTGTGTTTGAGGAAGCGAATGCAACCAGTGGCATCCTTATCTGGATTGCTCTGGAAAAGCACAGTAAAGGCGGCAGTGGGTGGGATCCCCTTCTACAACCGGTAAAAATAATCCAGCGGCTTCTTAGCAGCTAGCATTACTTTTACAGTGAAGGGAATTGCCAGCAGAAGAAAGTTATATCTTGATCATCTAGAATCAAAAAAGTGCAGCGCTGAAAGAACATCCAATAATATTATTACTAAAATAGTGCAAAATAATTCAAATAATTAATAAAGTGCAAAGTTCTTTTATATATTGTGTGATTATTTGATATGTCCATATACAATAAATAAAAGTCCATTATGAGTGTGATATATCGTCCTTAATTGATGTGAAGTGGAAATCCTGTGCTCAGGTGAAGGTACATTCCATGTGACAATTATTACATTTCGGTGAAGTGCAGGGAATATGGTAAAAATGCACACTCACCAGATGCGCATTTAAAATATGCAGTACAATATATAAGATGTAATCAGCCAGAGGTCCCCTTTAAGGTGGAATGGGTGTACAGCCTGGAAATATCCCTCCTCTGGATCCTGGAGCTGCCCTGCAGCTTAGTGTCACATGGGATTCTGTAGCTTAATTGCCGTCTCACCACACACTTGATGGCCTGCATGGCTGCTTGCCGTCCAGGAAATAAAAAGGAAGAAAAGGAAACAAAAAGGCCCGAGGCGGCGCAGAGAGCCCTAGACAGGCTAAGAGGATTGCTTCCTGTGGCTGGCTGAGGTGTTTGATGGTTGAGCTGGGGGTGGTGGCAGCCTTCTGACGCTTCTCCTCTCAATCACTCAGGGACAGCCGGTGTCAGTGAGGGGGGTGAGGCCGGGATCCTCGTAGCCTGTCCAGGGCTCTTTGCTCCGCCTCAGTACTTTGGTTTTCTTTTCTTCCTTCTTATTTCCCGGACAGCGAGCAGCCATGCAGGTCATCAAGTGTGTGGTGGTCGGAGACGGTAATTAATCTACAGAATCCCATGTGACACTCCATGCATAGCTTTGAGCAGCATAAGGTATACTGTTCATAGTGATAAACGTGGTTAAAGGTTTCACCAGGACATTGCCACAAAGAAAAAAATTATAGTAGGGGCAACTGCAATCTATAAGTATTGGTTGATTTTAGTTGAACACTTAAGCAAGATGCACAGTACATGGAGTACAAACGAAAATCAGCAGCAAAACATTTTAAGTCCTGTTGAACTCATGCGGAGTGTCAGAAATATTATGTGATTAAATCATTAAAAGTTAATTTCATTTTTTTCAAGATTCATACATAATACACTCATTCTGAAATTATATTTGTGTTCAGTTTGAAGGGATCCACCATAAATCACTAAAAGTTTTTCAGGTAGCAAAACTTTTGAAAACAATTGCTGTCCATTGCTATTATTTAACTGGAACATAGTGTGTGAATTAGGACCCTTTCAAAGCAACGCTATGCAAGTGTGTTAAAATGCATGTTCATAGCCTCCCGAAACTGCAGGAAAAATAATTTCTATTATAATCAAGCTCGTCATGTTATTGTCTTGTACTATAGCATTATAGTACATTATGATTTAGAATAATCCTGCCTGAAGCATCTTTCATGTGTTTCTAGAAAACGTATTATAGCATAGCCAGCATAGTAATGCACTGAACACGTACTAAAATGCAGTAGACATTTAACCACATGCCGCCCAGCCACTGTAGAAATACATTGGCAGGGTGGCACGGCTGGGCAAAACCACGTTTTAAAACGTGCGCTTTGTAAACAGGCAGGGGGCGCACGTGAGGCGCGCCACCGCCCTACTTGTCCCGCCGATCACGGCCGCGGATGTCAGTCGCCGGGTCACAGCCGATAGTTTCTGGCTGTGTCCCGGCAATTAGCGGCAATCACTGACAGAGAGCAGGGCTGCAGTAGCTCTGCTCTCTGTTAGTTCCCTGACAGCTCCTGACAGGCTGATCGGGAGAGAAGAGTTTCTCTCTCCCGATCAGTGGTGTTCTCTGCAGCACAAACCCTGCCCCCTAGTAAAACACTCCCCTCACAGTTAACCCTTTCACTAAATAATAAAGTTAACCCCTTCCTCCCCAGTGCCATTAGTACAGTGTCAGTGTTTTGTTTTTTTTTTTTGCACTGATCAATGTATTGGTGTCACTGGGGATGTCAGTGACCCCAAGTCAGTTCCCCCCCAGTGTCAGAATGTCCGCCGCAGTCCCGCCATAAGTCGCTGATCGCCACCATAAGTCACTGATCGCCGCCATAAGTCGCTGATCGCCGCGCCATAAGTCGCTGATCGCCGCCATTATTAGTATAAATTTTTTTTTAAAAATTCCAGTATCTTTCCCGCCATTTGTAAACGCTATAACTGGCGTATAAAATGGCGTAAATTGCAGTATCTATACCATAGTTTGTAGACGCTATAACTTTCACACAAAGCAATCAATATACACTTATTGGGATTTTTTTTTACCAAAAACATGTAGCAGAATACATTTTGGCCTAAATTTATAACTAACTTTGAGTTTACTATTTTTTTTTTTTTTTAATATATTTTTTATAGCTGAAAGTAAAAAATATTGTTTTTCTTCAAAATTTTGGGCCTTTTTTTGTTTATAGCATGAAAAATAAAAAGCGCACAGGTGATCAATTACCACCGAAAGAAAGCTCTATTTGTGTGAAAAAAAAGGACGTAAATTTAGTTTGGGTGCAGCATTGCATGACCGTGCAATTATCAGTTGAATTAGTGCAGCGTTGAGTAGCAAAAAGAGGCCTGGTCATTAAGGGGGGGGTAAATCCTCAGGAGGGCAAGTGGTTAATTAATGCATTTTCATTAACATATCCATGTTTTCATATTTTCAAGAAAAAAAAAAAATATAAAAAGGAAAATGCTCGCAAAAACGGAGAAAAGAAGGAGTTGACAGGGCAGCAACAGCACATATAACAGAGGACCTTAGACCTTTCCATCTATGAGTCATCCTAATAAAAAAATAAGTAAAGCTAAACAAGGGGGTAAATCTAATTTTGCAATCTTTCCTATATAAGATGTATAATGGTTTAAGTCTAAAAGTTCTAATTCTTGCATAAATGCAAGCATTAAACTTAGTTTAATAACTGCTCTACAAAACCATTAGGCCTACTACTCTAGCAGAAGAAGTTTCCTATCTGTACCCAACATCCACTCGTTTGTTTGAATTAGTAATTCTAGGCCAACAGTCAGCTGCATGACTGCATAAGTGTGAACACGGCTCCATCATTTTTTGGAAACAAAAAAACAACTGTTACCTGCAGACGGTTTAACACTAATGACTTCAACAGCATCCGGCAAACTCAACTCTTGGCTGTATACAAGCTCTGATGAAAGGGTCATCTTGCTGGTACTCTGAAGATTTGCTTTGCATGTTTGATACCTTTGTGTAAGAGGTGACTGCACCTTCTCTCCTGAAGCAGAACTAAAGGAGTCTTCTTTGGGTGGAACATTCTCAGATGAGTTGGAGTTTGACCTATCCTCTGTAATAAGAAAGGATGAAGTTTCAGTAAACTATGTCTGCAACAAATCATTATAAAACTTACACTTAAAGCAGAACTAAACCTTCATATCCTTTACAGACAAGGAAGCTGTCATCTTCGCTTCTGTTTGTATGGTGCTGCACATGCAATCAGTTATGACACCAGCTATTTGAAGGCTTGACAGTTCTCCTTAGAGAACAAGCAACCCTGACAATTATCAGTCACGTCATGCCTTGAAAGTAACGATCTTGATAAAGAGTTAAATCAATGGATTTAGTACCACTTTAGAGCAACTAAAAGCAACCATTTCAAAACCATTAAAAAGAAACGTTATATATTTCTCATCCTAATTATACACATGCATGTGATTGCCAACACAGGAGGGGAGATTCTCATTACTGCCTAAGAGTACAATTGTATTCTACAAGTATTGTTTAAGTACAGGTGTATGTTTTTCTCAATAGCGTCACCAAAGTGAATTTGCACAACCTGCTTTACATACTGCTCTTTGGTGGTCAGTGACGCGGTCAATAAGGCAAACCTCCACAAGCACATACAGTGCATTGAAAAATTATTCATACCCCTTGAAATTTTCCACCTTTTGTCATGTTACAACCAAAAACGTAAATGTGTTTTATTGGGATTTTATGTGATAGACCAACACTAAGTGGCACATAATTGTGAAGTGAAAGGAAAATGATAAATGGTTTTTAATATTTTTTACAAATAAATATCTGAAAAGTGTGGCATTCATTTGTATTCAGCCCCCGAGTCAATATTTTGTAGAACCACCTTTTGTTGCAATTACAATTTTTGGGGATGTCTCTACCAGCTTTGCACATCTAGAGAGTGAAAGTTTTGCCCATTCTTCTTTGCAAAATAGCTCACGCTCTGTCAGATTGGATGGAGAGTGTCTGTGAACAGCAATTTTCAAGTCTTGCCACAGATTCTTAGTTGAATTTAGGTCTGGACTTTCACTGGGCCATTCTAACACATGAATATGCTTTGATCTAAGTCATTACATTTCAGCTCTGGCTGTATGTTTAGGGTTGTTGTCCTGCTGGAAGGTGAACCTCTGCCAAGTCTTTTGCAGACTCTAACAGGTTTTCTTCTAAGATTGCCCTGTATTTGGCTCCATCCATCTTCCCATCAACTCTGACCATCTTCCCTGCTGTAGAAAAGCATCCCCACAACATTGTGCTGCCACCACCATGTTTCATGGTGGGGATGGTGTATTCAGGGCGATGTGCAGTGTTAGTTTTCCACCACACATAGCACTTTGCTTTTAACCCAAAAAGTTAAATTTTGGTCTCTTCTGACCCCGAGCACCTTCTTCTACATGTTTCCTGTGTCCTCCACATGGCTTCTCGCAAACTGCAAACAGGACTTCTTGTGGCTTTCTTTCAAGAATGGATTTCTTCTTGCCACTCTTCCATAAAGGCCAGATTTGTGGTGTGCACACCTAATAGCTGTCTTGTGGACAGATTCTCTCACCTGAGCTGTGGATCTCTGCAGCTGCTCCAGAGTTACCATGGGCCTCTTGGCTGCTTCTCTGATTAATGCTCTCCTTGCCCATCCTGCCAGTTTAGGTGGACGGCCATGCTTTGGTAGGTTTGCAGTTGTGCTATACGCTTTCCATTTTCAGATGATGGATTGAACAATGCTCTGTGAGATGTTCAAAGCTTGGGATTAGTGGTGGTGCACTGAAATTAAAATTCTGGTGCCAAAACCAAAAAATCAAATGCACTTGGCCGGAAACCGAAACGCGCAGTATGAATATATATTTTTGGGAAAAAAAATATACCGATTAAAAAAAAAAACCAAACAACAAAAAAAAAAAATACATTTTTTTTTGTAAAATATGAAAGAAGACATTACAGCAAATAAATAGATACCCAACATGTCAAGCTTTAAAATTGCGTACACTCGTGAAGTCTCCATGGGTGATGCTTTAAAAATTTCTACAGGTTAGTAGTGTAAAGTTACAGAGGAGGTCTAGTGCTAGAATTATTGCTCTTGCTCTGACGTTCGTGGCAATACCTCACGTGTGTGGTTTGAACACCGTTACATATGTGGGTATGGCCTACGTATGCATTCACCACTACGTACGAGCACGGGGGGACGGGGGCTCTTTAAACTATTTTGTTTTAATTTAATTTTTTTTTTTTTTTTTTAAACTGTCCCTTTAAAAAAAATTTTACTCTTATCACGAGGAATGTATGCATCCCTTGTGATAGAAATTAGTGACAGGTCCTCTTATTGACCCCACATCTCTCCTCTGCAATGTAAAGCATTAGATCAAAAAAGCATTGATCTAGTGCTTAAAAAAAAAAAAAAAAAAATTGGCAAGAACCGGAAGGGACATTGCTCCGGCTGAGAACTACCAAGCAGCGGCAGGTGATGGGCAGCAGCGAGGGGCAAGGTTTTTTCGGCACCTGTATCGGTGCTTTTTTTTTTTTTTTTCATATTGGCCTACAGCCGAAAGGGGTGTTTTCGGCCAAAACATTTTGGTCACCGAAATGTCGATGCATCCCTACTTGTTATATTTCTTTATGACCTAACCCTGCTTTAAACTTCTCCACAATTTTATCCCTGACCTGTCGAGTGTGTTCCGTGGCCTTCATGATGCCTCTGAGAGCTTTACAGACCAGCTGTATGTATACTGAGATGAAATTACACACAGGTGGACCCTAATTATTAATTAGGTGACTTCTGAAGGCAATTGGGTCCACTAGATTTTAGTTGGGGGTAGCAGAGTAAAAGGGGCAGAAAACAAATGTACGCCACACATTTCAGATATTTATTCGTAAAAAATGTTGAAAACCATTTATCATTTTCCTTCCCCTTTACAATTATGTGCCACTTTGTGTTGGTCTGTCACATAAAATCCCAATAAAATACATTTACGTTTTTGGTTGTAACATGACAAAATGTGGAACATTTCAAGGGGTATGAATACTTTTTCAAGGCACTGTATGCAAAGCCACACAAGCACCCTTAATAGTAGATACATGGATGGCCAGTACTGCCAAAATGCATTTATTAAAAATCTTTAAAATAACTAATCCAAAAAAAAAAAAAAAACTTTCACTCTGAGTTTCATATGACAGGCAAAAAACTGATTCCTATTGATTGAGAAGCATTGCACTCTGAAAGAGCTTGTGTCATACAATGGTATAGCCAGATTATTATTATTATACAGGATTTATATAACCCCAACAGTTTGCTCAGCACTTTACAATATAAAGGGAGACAATACAGCAACAATACAGTTCAATACAAGTGGGATAGGAGGGCCCTGTTTCTTGGAGCTTACAATCTAGGAGACAAAGTAAAAAAAGAAAGCCTAAGAAATAATTCAGAAGAAATGGTGTTCATGCATAGTAACATACAAAACCATACCCACGGAGACAGGAACAGATTTTAAATGTAATTTCCACATGTGTAATACTGAACGTTTTTCTTTGGTACATTCAATTACCACCAGGAAAAATGTTTCAGAAAATCCATTGTAGGAGCGGTCTATCGGGGGAAAAAAAGCCAAGTGGTTAGTCTTCTGTCACTAATTTCACTAAAAGGCAAATACATGAAATCTTGAACAAAGCATCAAATTGCTACCTATTGTAACCAGTCTAATTTCTTGGTTTTATTGTGAGAGGTTCATTTTTTTTTTTTTTTTTTGGTGGGCAGCAGTTCCATATCTTCACCAGTCTTAACATGTGAGTGAAATGGTGATGGTCTCATTTTATTAATCAAAGCAGGAAAAAGGGCAGACTTAAAGCTGAACTGAAGTGAAAAAAACATCCTTGCAGTGGGGTTCCCTAGCACTGCAAGGGCTATGCATTTTCTGTGAGGATGCTGAGGAACCATCCATAATCCAGAGCACAGGGGGAAAAGTTCAGTACCGCCTGCCAAAAGGAACAAAACATTAGCCTTAAAAAAAAAAAAAAAAAAAGTGCTGTTTACTGATGGGTCACAGAGGGAATGTTTTCCCTGAGGCCCACATTCAGTTCTTGAAATGAAAGCTCTAAAATGTTGGTCATTCAAGTTTTTATCACATGCTCATTTTTCCCCATAAGTGTATCACATGCCCTGCTCTGCTTATCTAATATTTTTCACACGGTTTTAAAGATTAAACCATTTCTGTGGTTTGCTGACACAGAACTCTATACCATTTCAGTCCTCACATCCTCCAGACAGTAATAGCCTTTTATGTCAGCCACCCAGACAATTTACACAGTTTTGATTTCTGGTAGTTTAATTTTTTAATGGTTTCTATCCAACCCAATGAAGTGACAATTTACAATTTACAGTTTATTTTTTTTAATTATTTACAATAACTTTAAACAGGTTTAAACTTACCTGCTCTATATAATGGTACTGCACAGAGCCGCACCGAACATCCTCTTCTTGGGTCCCCCGCCAACGCTCCTGCTCTTCTCAGTGTTACCCCATTGGAAATTGTCTCCTATGGGGGAATATCTATGTGCTCACTCTTGAGCCCCACTGTCTGCATCTGTAGACACAGACAAATCAGACTCAGGCACACCCTTCGCTCCCTTGTTACTGGCTTTAATTGACAGTGTAAGGGGGCGGGGGTTGGTGGACGGTGAGGAGGGATACGGTTTCTCATGCTTAAAACATTTTACCTTAATGCAAGGAATGCATTAAAGTAAAAATGTTTAGGCTTAATAACCATTTTAATTGATTCTCTCTATATTTAAAGTGGTTATAAAGTTACAAGTTTTTTCTTTTACCTTAATGCATTCTATGCATTAGGGCAGGGGTATTGAATTAAAATTCACTGAGGTCCTGGCAGTAAAATTTTCAGGCATCAAAGATGCGAATCTCACGTAGGCATTACTGTCCTCTGCCCCCCCTCCATGTTACTGTCCTCAACCAATCCACATTACAGTTCTCAGTCCCGCACTTTAATGTCCTTAGCCTCCACACACCACAGTTCAGCCCCCCACGTTACTGTCCTCAGCGCCCCGCCCCCCCCCCCCCCCCCCCCCGACACTTTAATGCTGTCAGCCCCCCTACATAGCATTTCAGGCCTCAGCTCCTCCACTTTAATTTTAATGTCATCAACACCCCACACTTCTGTCCTCAGTCCCCCCCCCCCCCCCTCCAACATTACTGTTCTAAGCCCTCCCCATATTCAGTCCACAGCCCCCCCCCCCCATTCAGTCCTTGGCTCCTTTTCACATCAGTACCCCTTCACAATACTGTCCTTAGCCCTTTCAACTCACCCCCCCCCCCACCCCACACTGTCCTGCCTTACACAGACACTGATTGACAGAGTGCTTGCTTGCTAGGACTGCCCTTCATCCTAGCAACCAATCACCTGCTTGTTAACCTTGGGCAGCTCCCGCCCTCTATTCAGAATTGCCCTTCTTCCTGCTGTCAGCTTTGTGAGGATGATCGCGAGATGGCTGGAGGAAGAAAAAGGCTCTTAAACGGCCGGATGGGACAGTGACTCGGTCCGCATCTGGACCGCCATTTAGTGATGCTTGCATTAGGCAAGACAAACCTTCCACTAGCCCCTTTTCGTGTACCTAAATACTAACCTAAGTCATTTGCATCTGCTGTTGTCAGTCAAATCCTGTGAGAAGGGAGTGGAGGGGCGCTTGGGCAGAGAGCTCTGTGGGTTTATGGATGCATACAGGCCAGGTTGGGGGCATACGAAAAAAAGGGGAGGAGTGTTGAACACCGGCAGGGGCTACAGAAGAGGCGTTAAGGGGCCACTCTGTTTAATACCACTACACAGAGCAGGTAAGCATAAACCTCTTTTTATTTTAATTTAAAAAAAAAAAAGACTTTACAACCACTGTAATCAAGTTATAAAACTTTTTGATTAAACCCAAATTTTATTAAAAAAGCCACAGAGAAAGCTAAAATCTTGTTTAAAAACGTTTAACTAAAACATATTAGGGTAGTGGAATGTGTAAGCAGAATTTGGTCACCTTCAAAGCAGGAGATCTAACAAGCTCTACTGAGCACTCCATAGGATTGGTGTACTGAATCTAGAAAGCTTATGTGCATTAAGAGAGGAGGGAACAGAATATGAGTAATGCAGGCAGAGGAAAGACAATAATGATTGGGCCAATTTCTAACTTGACTGATCAACTGTGGTCAGCTGACAACATCTGGGAGGAACGAAAGACACAAGATCACATTTTAAAATATGTTACCAAACACGTTGGATGTGTTTGTAATCTGCATGTGATTAAAGTGCAAATGTTCCAATGGTACTATACCCGCTAGACCTTTTTGAAATGTAACAAACTACATGACATTTCAAGAATGTAAGTGAATGCTTGAAAAAACTGATCAAAAGGGGACAAAATCCTCAAAATTCATGTAAATAAAGCCTTACCAGAATTCGATGAAATGCCATTGACTCCTGATATTTCAATCTTCTGATTTCCAACTATGAAGTCTTCTTGAAAGACATGCAACAGTTGTGTTTTTCTGCCATACTAAACACAAGACAACATAATTAGTACAAGGAAGTGCAGCAAAACATCTGAAGACCATGCTGATACTTACTAGGCTAGTAATGGCATCCAGTTCTATAATACATCCTGGTCTAGCAGTGGACTGCTGACTAATAATGTTGAAAACTTCTCCAACGTATGTCTGTAAATGAATGTAAACAGAGCCACGACAATTATCATTAATGCAATATAGTAAAATGAACCTATATGGATGACTGATCAGTGTATAGAAGCCACATCTCTGTGAAAAAGGTCAAGCAACAGTGGGAAAGCTGTGCATATACAGAGATGCTCTGATCTGTGTGCAATTTACAGTACAATGGCCTTGAGGGGCTCTATAACCAGTTCCCACCAGAAGTATGAATATATGCAGCTTTTTGGTAGGTGGCTTTAACACCAATCTGCATCCATATGTAAACATTTTTATCCGCTGAGAGTGCACTCCCAGCGCAGTAATCGTTGGGTACTGGAAAGCTCCCAATGCCTACATACTTCTTTCCTTTACTGAGAGATCTGAGGTCTATTACACCCCAGATATCTGCCCTTGAAAGCATTAGATCAAACCAAGATCAGTTCACCTGATGCTTTTCACAGGCCGGTAACGGTCTGTTTACATTAAACGGAAACCGGTTGTGGCAAAACACTCGTCACTTCCAATTTCTCAGATAAAAGAGAGGATTAGGGACTTCCCGGCAGAACTTCCGGCTTCACACCTGGGCTCCTTGGTGTAAAAGTGATCCAGCAGCTAGTTAGCCACTTGGATCACTTTTCATTTATTCAGAATCCCTGGCTGAAAAAGACCGATATTGAGGACATGGCTGAAGTTGCAGCCATGGCCCCAGTCTAACCACAAACTCAAGGACGTTCTGGGACGCCATTGGGTGGCAAGTGATTAACATACCAAGAAGTACACATTTTCAAGGTACATTTTCAGGTTACTGCTTAGGCACACCCAACTTTTCAAAAAGTTCTCAATACCAAAGCAAATCCTCACATTTGAGTTAATTTCTATGTTAAGCCTTCTATACTAGAAGAAGATATACTGGGATGTGTATATTTATTATGAACGATCTGCAATATTACAAACAGCCTTGCAAGCCTGTACAGGGTTTACTACTGACACAGTTTGTGTAATTAAATCTGCCTATCTATGGAAAAAGTTAATTACAATTCCCTATGTATATTAGACTTTGCAACTTCTTTATATACGGAGTTGCCCTAGGGTATACCATATCATACCCTTCCACACACTATAGACTGAGGAATTATTACACTTAATAAAAGGTTAAATATCCATTATGTTATGTGTGCAAAGAGGTATTTGCAATTCACATAATTAAAACATGACAATGTAGTTTGTATACGGTTTTCAACAAGAGCACCTTATTTTCTTAACCTTTCTTTTTTCTTTTCTCAATAACCATATCCTGCCTATCTTCTACAATCATGTCTTTCTTTCTTGCCAATTCATAATTTATGTATGCCAATTTTGGGCATTCTACTTATATAGATGAGTTCGAAATGATAAACGTTATGTTTGATGTATACGACCAATATAAATTAAACTGCACAGGTATAACCCATTTGGCAATAATGGCATGGGATATGCAATCTTACTTTAACTAAAGATGTGAAACACTCTACCTTAAAGTAAACAATCTTATCAATGTGTACTAATTTAAGAAAACAATATTTATATAGTTTATATTATCTGTATACATAGTGGCAGTTTTTTTTCCTATCTCACAACTGGCTCAGGAGCAGTAGCCAGACCATGTACATACATGGTCCAAACTAGAAACTTGTGACTAGGGCCTTTTCTTGCATGGAACTTGTACATTTTTACATAAAGTGTACTTCCACAAAACTATGGTCTAGTTCTGGATAAAGTAGAGAAGACTGAAAACCACTGTTGGGTTTGACTGCTAACCCAATGCATAATTAGTAAGACTTTGCCTCACTTTTACCAATAATGGCTTTACCAGAAAAAAAATAAAGGAAAGTCAATGGCAGAATTTTTTTTTTTTTTTTTGTAAAATAGGGGAAAATGAGAGAGGGGCAGGTATTCTCTCACTTCTCCTCTTGTAAAACAGTTATTGATTGGACAGTACGTGAGGTGAAATCTCTTTAAACGGAGCCAAGGAGAGCAGCAAAAAAAAAAAAACAAAAAAAAAACAAATATAAAAACAGGTTCTAATTATTTTCCACACGGTCTAAAAAAAAAAAAAAAAAAAGTTTCAACTGAACTTTAAAATATTAAAGATGTATTAATCAAATATGCCCTACTCTTTTTTTTTTTTTTGATAGGCAGACTTTAAAATCCTGCCAACATATAAACAACATGAATGATTTAATTGTGGGTATACAGGCAGAAATAGAAAACACACTTACTGATATATCAGGATTGGACAGTTCACACAACAGCTTTTTAGCATCTATTACAGCCTGATACAACCTTAAATTCTGCCCATCGCTGGCAACAAAACATGCACTTGGCGAATTGCAGTATGTACCTGTAAAAGTACAAATAGATCAGCTTCCTAGGCCAGATCAAGAAAGTGCCTTGAAAAACCACTATTATATGTGACATAAAAAACTCAGTAACAAAAATATTTGATATATAGCATTTAATTTGCATGATTAGATGGCCATGGTAAGATGTATTTCTTTGCCATATACCAGCAACTTTAAACTAGAACTTAAGGCAAAACCTTTTTGTTTTTTAAAATATGGATAGCCAAAACAGGAAGTGAGAGGAAATCCCTCCAAAATTCCTTATTGACATTAGAACTACAGCCCCAACTGGTAGATTTTGCTTCTATTACTGTTCTGGGGACAACTAAACATTTTTTACTTTCACTTTCGATTATAACAATATACAGGACAAGTAGAGAAGATGAACCACTCTAAAGGGACACAGATAGCAACAAAACCTGACAAGTGTTCTAATCCCTCTCCACCCGACCCAAAACAAAAAAGAAAAAAAGTTTTACCTTTAGTTATACTTTAAGCACCTGCTGCCTGCCTGCATTTTACTGCAGGTGGGCAGTTCGTACAGGCACAATCATGTATCTGTACACCGGCAGTGTATTCCCCCCCCCCCCCCCATTCCCCCAGCCGCTTCCCGTTGTGATTGGACACAGTGGGATTTTGTCAGCTGGTTTCATACAATGATTTGTGGCTGAGATCTGCTGACTGGCAGTGTCCAAATCACAGCCCAGAGCCGTATATTGACACGGAGAAGGAAAAAAGAGCAGCAAACATTATACATTGCTAGGAACATGGGTAGCCCTTTCATCCCCCCCTAGATGTTAATCCTTTCCCAGACAGTGTCATTAGTACAGTGACCGTGTATAGTATTATCACTGATCACTGTGTTAATGTCACTGGGGATGTCAGTTCCCATCCAGAGATCTTTTTTTTTGTTTTTTTACCAAAGACATGTAGCAGAATACATTTTGGCCTACATTTATAAAGAAATTAGATTTTTTTAAATTGCATTGGACATTTTTTATAGCAGAAAGTAAAAAAACATTATTTCATTTGTTTTTTATTTAAAATTTTTGGTCTTTTTTGTTAAAAAATCCAGTGGCGATCAAATACCACCAAAAAAGAAAGCTCTATGTGTGAAAAAAAGTTAAAGTAGTGCAGTGCTGAATAGCAAAATATGGTCATGTCATGAAAGGGGTAAAACCTTCCAGAGCTCAAGTGGTTATTGTAGTGCCCATGTTAAGACATTCCGCAGACCCTGTTAAGCTACATCTGTCACATTTACTATTGTCTGTCATCTTTTTCTTCTTGAGCCAATTTCAAAACAGGTATTCAATATATTTAATATATCAAATTAATATAAATTGGATATTACTGCTGAACCTCATAATGGGAGACATATAAAACCGCAAGACGGGAGCTCGGAACATGCTGGGAGCCTGTCCTGGGCATCATAAAAAGGAGGAGAGTCACATGGTTTATGATCTACTGGTCTGGACCACTGTCACACACAGATACATTGGAATTACAAAGATGCCTGGATAAAGACTCACCTAAACAATAACTTGGTATAAGGGTGGGCAACCAAGCAACATTGGAGAAGGCAGAAACGTGAAGGGAATTGATACGAGCCAGTTCAGAAACGCCACCAGAAAAAGAAAGAGGTCCGATAGGATCAACTCGCCAAAGGATAAGTTCACTGTACACTGCATTAGGATCCTGATAACTTTCTAACGCTTCTTCTCCATTGTTGTTTATAAAACTCTCTCCATTTTGTAAAGGTGTTTTGTTAGGTGTCCCAATATCACCATTTTCCTCTGTTGGGTGTAGGGCATTGTGATGAGACGTGGTCAGCAGCAGTGGCAGAACAGAATGGCAGGCAAGGTCATTCAGATGAAACCGATGGCCGCAGTATCGAGACTTGTGTGAAATGCTGAGCACAGTGGAAAATGCAGATTCTTCAGCAAAGCTCACCTGCCACTGATTCAGGGAACCATCTGCATGCTTGGATATCATTAACACATTGGGAGTAAAGATGCTCAGCTTTAAGCTGTTTGATTTACTTTGCCCAGCAGAAATGAGCATAGAGGTGGATCGTGCCATAGATGCAGGCTTTTGTTTGCCCTGCTGGATGGCCAAGTCTACATTTTTAGTGCTTGCGTACATCACTATACTTCGACAGAGGGAGTTTGCGTCTCCAGTGGGAAATGCTACAGGAATTCTACATGAAAAGGATACCTGAAAAATAAAGCAATGCTAATGAACTGTTAAATAATTTGCTCTTTGAATATTTTTTAATAAAAAAAAACAACAAAAAAAAAAAAAAAAAACAACTGGAACTTCAAAAGCCTAGTTACTTGGCCTAATAAGACAATAAAAGAGTGAGTGCCCAAGTGAAAAAAAGAAAAATAGGGAATCAAAACACGTAACTTTTTAAAGTGGTTCTAAAGCCTTAAGGTTTCTTACCTTAATGCATTCTATTCATTAACTGCTTCCCGTCTGCCCTAAAGCAGATATACTGCTACAGGGCGGCACGAGTGCGCGAAACCACATATATATATATACGTGATTGGCTGTCAATCACCGGGTCCCGACCGGTGATTACCAAAGATCTCCGATGGGGGTGAGAACTGTTAGTAAACAAAACAGTTCTCCCTGTCAGCTCGTGCACACTGCTTCTCATGGCTGTGCACAGCACAGTCATGCAAAGCAGTGTGCTTACAGTGAAGCACTAACACAGGACACAATGTAAAACAGCACACAGTTAACCCTTTTATCACCCCACGTTAACCCCTTCCTGCCCAGTGCCATTAGTACAGTGTCAGTGCTTTTTATTAGCACTGATCACAGTATTGTCGTCACTGGGGATGTCAGTGACACCAAGTCAGTTCCCCCCAGTGTCAGAATGCCTACCGCAGTCTCGGAATAAGTCGCTGATCGCCGCCATTACTAGTAAAAATTAACCCGCTGAAAAGGAGGGGCAAGGAGCACCGGCAGGGGACCCCAAAAAGAGGAGGATTGGGGCTGCTCTGTACAAAAGCACTGCACAGAGCAGGTAAGTATAGGCATGTTTGTTATTTTAATTAAAAAATGAAAAAAACCAAAAGGTTTATTATCACTTTAACTACTAGGAATCAGCATTTCTACACTTGACCAAGGCTCTGGAATCCTACTCTGCCTGTGTGATGCCAGATGTCATATCATGGGAAATCATGTCTAGCTTCTAGCTTTGCCCGATAATAATTACCTGCACTTGGCGAAACATGCCAGGTTGATATTCATCTAACCAGTCAACATGCCATACAAGCAAGGAGCCATCCACAGGATGGATACTAAAAAGCATGTCTGGATTCTTGTTCCATTCAGAAAGCAGGATTTCAATTTCATGATCAATAACAGATGATGGAAAGGAGACACTGGAAGAATTCACAAATGATTTTTCACCATTCACGTCCATTTTCTCATTCGGCAATTTTGAATTGATTTCATTATCATCATCTAATAAGATTAGAAAAGAAAGCACAAAAAGGAAGAAGTTAAAAACTATTAGTATTTATTTATACCAGTATATGAGTGTGTGACTGTTCCAGAAACAATGGCAGTACATATTTTCAAGGCAAAGTCTATATTAAAAAAATCACCAATGATTGACACCCCGTGGTAGTAATTTTTTCTAGAAAACACATGCAACTCATAACATATTTTGTCGATTTAGCTCTTATGGAGATTTCTGGATTGTACTCCTAACTGCATAAATTTATTATGCATATAAACTGGCCAGCTGACCATGACCTTTATTAGGCCTTCTACATCGACAACTGGCCCATTTATATGCCAACCCCTGGCTTTTATACCCAACAAATATCTGCTTAAATACTGAAAAGAAAGAATGGAAGATTTGATCATACAATGGCTAGTATGTGCATGCAGCTTTTGTACAATCACTTTTCTCCTATAATATGGCATTTGGCACAAACATCAAATGGTCAAAACTGCAGATGCCCTAATACACTTGTAATAAGTGTAATATCTCCTGCACTATTAACCAATTACACGCTAAGCAGCCAGCACTCAGGTGCCACAACCTAGGCACCAAACACAGTAAGGATCAGAGTCTAATAATGGTGCAGCGCTACAAATACATGTGCATGAAAAATAATAAATAATAATAATACACTTGTAGCTGACCCACTTTAGATTGTAAGCTTTTGCATGCAGGGCATTCAGAACCCATATGTATTGAATTGTAATTTAACTGTACTGTGTCCTATAATTTTAAAGAGTGCTACTCAAACTGTTGGCACTACACAAATCCTGTATAATAATAAACGTTAAATGGATCTGTTCATGGTTAGTTTAATTCCGAAAAAGCGGTTTCAATAAAGGCAAAACGGTTTCCAAGGAGGGAAAGAAGAAACCTGTATTATCTGTTTTTGTGACTTGAATCATAAAATATAATCAATTAACTCTACTATGCCAAGTAAATATGCTTATTATTATGCACACACTGTTTTACGTGATAGGAATACACACCTTCAGAGTTCCCTTCATCCTGGTTTGCTTCATCTATACAAGCCTCTGAAGACTGCTGTTCCAAACTCTTCCTGAGCTGCTGAAGGAAGACCTCCATAGACAGAGAAAAATGTAACTCTTTGTTATTCAGCCAGTGCACTACTACGAATGGCCCACTTTTTTCTTCTGTCTCACTGAGGCTCATTGATGAAATAGATGGAAGGAGAGGAATGTCTGAAGAGAAATACAGGAGAAAAATTTAATTCAATTATTCAAACTAATGAGAATAGAACAAAGATAAAAGAAAAACAAAATACAGCTATAAAATGAATCTTAAAAAATCTCCTGTGCACTTTTCATGATACTAAACTTAACCTTCTGTAATATAACAGAAAGCAAACCTTTCTTTTTAATTTTGGATAGAGTGGAGAGGGATTAGAACATCCATTAGGTTTTTATAGCCAACTGTGTTCCCGTTAGGGAGATATGCCCTCTATATTTTCTGGTGACTGTTATCACAGAAAATTAAAAACCCAATGTACAAGTGGTCAGCAGAACAGGCAGAGATATCCTCTCAATTTCTGTTGTGACTATGAGATAGGAAGTGTTGGCAAAGAAAAACCTGACAGGAGTTTTATGGCACAGTAATCTCTAATTCTACAGTGATTGCCACTGTCTTCTGGGTCTCATGCTGACCATCTTTCCTGCTGCACAGTAACCACAGGGAGTCACCTGCTTAGCATGGGCACAGTTTACAGAGTACCATGCATTTTTCCCAATGATCACAAAGTGTTTTTTAATTGGACTAGGTGGAGAGGCAGGGTGGTGACATGATCTCCACCAGTCCAAATGAAGAATGCCTTACATTAATTGAGAAAAATGCAAAACATTCTGTGAATGGTGCACATGCCGAGCATACGAGCCCGTGTTAACTATGCAGCAGGGGAGCTGCTCGACACTGGACCCAGAAGAAAGTGGAGATCACTGCAGTAGAAGAGACGATTATCACTTTAATCTGCTTTTGCAGCAGCACCTTAGTTACTGTATATCCATATTTACATTCATCAAAGCTGGACACATCAAAATTCATACCTAAAACAAGTTTTAACCTCTTCAATACCAGGCACTTTTACTCCCTTCCTGCCCAGGCCAATTTTTTAGCTGCCAGCGCTGTCGCACTTGCGCGGTCATGCAACACTGTACCCATATGAAATGTTTATCTTTTTTTTTTTTTTACACAAATAAAGCTTTCTTTTGGTGGTATTTAATCACCACTGAGTTTTTTATTTTTTGCTAAAGAAAACAATAAAACACCTGAAACTTGAAAAAAAAAACTGCACTCTTCTTTGGTTCTGTTATAAAATTTTGCCAATAAAGAACATTTCTTCATAAATGTAGGTCAAAATGTATTCTGTTACACTTCTTTGGTGATAATAATTGAATATGTATTTTTTTTTTCAAATGTTTCTATTTTTTTTTTTTATTATTAATTTTTTTTCTTTTTTTTACTATTTTATTTTTCAGCAGACTGTGACCAAGGAAATACAATGTTACCATGGTAACATTGAACTACTCTGGGCAGGTGATCAGGAGGTTTTTTTAACACATTAGGATGGCTAATACCAATATATTTCATTGATATTTGCAATCATTGTTACTGGATGAAACTGATTCATTCAGTCTTCTGTTGTGATTAACTGTGATTGGGCAAAGCTGATCACATGATTCAGATGGGCTGTGATTGGCCCTGTCTATATCATGTGACTTCCTTGACCAGTCACAGCTAACAGTATAATTGTATACAATGGATGCCATGACAGGAAGCCATCCATTGTGTACAACTGACGTGATCTGCTGTGATTGGTCACATGACACTGGCAACGGGCCAGTGTAGTGACATGTCATCGGCTGTGTCCCATGGACGTCATATTACGCCCAGTCACAGTGGCGAGTGTCCCACCCGGCCGTCAATCTGCTATAGGCCGGGCGGTAAGGTGTTAAAGTAAAGACACATGATCTACAACAGCATACAAATATCAATCACCCTAACAAGTTTGCAATCATGAAGAATCCATGTTTCCTACAGGTCTTGTCTAGTACAAATTTTCTTAGAATTTGATTTTGCCTCACCTGTAGCGGGGTTGATGCTAGCCGCAATGTGAAAGTGACAAAGTGCGTTGCCATGAAAGGGGGCATTCCGATGTACATCATGAGCATCGTGTTGATGAGGTGGATATCCTGTGTGTGCCACCAAGCATAAAGATCTCTTCCTGCCCCTACGAAAATGCCTCAAGTTCAACTGTCCGAGAAAGAAAAATATGGCTGACTAATACTTCAGGTAAAAATGGAGTGGAGTTTAAAAAAATATAGGAAAAAGCAAATGCATGCTCCGTTTTGATTACAGAAATTATATTTTAGCTGTGATACTGTATTGGATTCTTTAGGAAATCAGAGCCTTAACTACACACACTAAAATATTTTCATATTCAAAATAAGCAGAAAAGCACTCTAAAGAAAGCCCTTATTCACCTCTGTAGCTATAGGCATTGAGAAATTAATTTTCGCAAAAGAGGCAGTCAAATCTGGTCCTTCTATAGACATATGTGGGTAAAAAAATGGGTGTATATATATGATTCCTCTATTATTAGTTTCTATTTTACTTTTTTTATACCCATCTGTAATTGGTGTTTTAGACACATTACATATATTTTTAATGGGTCGCTTTTTTTGACCTCTCGGGTAGACCGTAATGGTCATTTAAGAGTTAAGAAATCATAAGAACAGATCGATTACTTTATAAATTAATATTTAATAAATACTTAGTATTACTAAATACTTTTAGTAATCTCAGTTGTTTATTTTAGGTTTCTTATGTACTGTTAGTCATTTTTTGCTATTCCGAATCAATTTGGGCATCTGTATACTGCTGGGCAAGACTGGCTGGGCTTTTATTGTCCTCTGGACCCTAGGTGCCCATAAATACCATTTCCAATATGGATGCTGAATGGCCTGAAGAAAGAGCACACATGCTCCGTAATGCGTAGCCATGCTGCATCACATCCAGATGACATCACGCCTGCTTTCCCCAGTGTGTTCCACACTGTACCCGGAATGCTCCAGCTTTCCATAAAGGAAGACCCAGCAAGGCTCTTCTGTTTTACTCTATTGACAGAGTAGGAACCCTGGGGTCAAATGTTGCAGAGCGGCAGTCTACTCCGATGAGGATTACCTTGTTCATTTTTATGAGAGTTGCTCCGATTGCACTAATAAATGGCTTTTTAATTCTGCTACAGTTAGGTGTCTTCCTGTGTGTGCTCCCACGCTGTAGCGATCATCTCTAGTTCTCAAGTACAAGCTATCTGAAGTGTACACTGAACTACATATCTCATCTATGGACTGATCATAGACAGCCCACACAAGTGCCCATTAACAAGCAGCTGCTATGTGGGTACTCGGCAGGGGGAAGAAAAAAAAAAACTGTAGGTTTACAATCACTTTAATTAGCGCTGTGTTTAATTTGTATTAATTTTGTACAGATACAGTTTAAAGAGGTTATAAAGGATACTTTTGTAAAAAATGAAATAAAAAAACATGTCATAATTACCTGTTCCGTGCAATGGTATTGTACAGAACAGCCCTGAACCTCCTCTTCTGGGGTCCTCCCCCCTGCATTTTCAGCTCCTCCTCTTCTGTGTGTGCCTCCATAGCAAAAACGCGTGCTAAAGGGGGCATACCTATGGGCTCACTCCCCAACTTGGCTGTGCGCTTCCACACACACACATACACACACAGCATGGCTTGGCCCCCTCCCTCCCACTTCCTCCTCACAGGATTTGATTAATAGCAGCAGAAACCAATAGAACCAATAGGAACAGAGACCAGCTTTGCTGCAGACAGGCACAGCACTGGATCGAGATGTAAGGCCACAATGGTCAAAATGTGTTG